GAAAGGACGAAAGAATTTGCGCAACAACCTCTCTCGAGAGCAGCAGCTGCGGAATCCGGCTGCGGAGTGGCTGCTGAATAAATTGGCAGTAATCACCTTTCATCATCTTAATTCCGCAGCAACATAATTTATTCGGAACATGCTCTTTAAGCGAGAACCACCCTATATTTACATGCCCTTTAATATTCTCTCTCTCGTGCTCGCTCGGCCCGGCAAGTTAATTATGAATCCAGTTTGCAGAGACGCCCAACCGACGAGGAATAAATAAATCCGACCGGGAAATAACATCGACACATTAACACACCTACGTGTCGCGCACCGGCAGCCGCGCCAACATTATTCTAGGCGAATTGATGTGACTCTTAGATTAGGGCTCTGCTCTCTCTCTTTGCTCGAATATCTCCGCCGGTGGTTGCTCATTTCTCGCGCGCGAATAAAATTTTATTGCCGGCTGAATTATTATACGTGTGGACATGGGTGTTTGCAACTAAAGTGCTGACGATGCTCCCCGCGCGTTTGTATCGGACACCGTGTAAAAGAGGCAATTGCCGACCCCGCCGGAGAGAGATCGAAACTGCGCGCAGAGGTGGGATTCGAAAGATTGAACTGTTTTACGAGCCATTGTGTTCGCAACGGAAAAAGCAGGCTTTTTGCACAGCGACGGAGAAGAGATTTCACAAGAAAGATGTCGGGAAAAGTTTATTGTAACACAACTTTTTTGTTTATAAAAATTTGTATACCTCATAGAATAGTTTTTACGATTAAATTAGGAATGATCTTTTTGTAAATTGTAAAAGTTTATAATTTCTCGGGAAAAAGGAAAATATCAAAATAAGTGTTCTCTCACACTTAAAAATAAATAAAAATGAATTAAAAAATTATTACAGAAACTTTTTTTTAAAGAAGATTCATTGTTTTACAAACTTGCGAATCATAAATGTCACAATTTTATTGTAGATCTTGATTTTTCTCTATGGTAAATAGTCACATTGATCAGTTTAAAGGCTCAATTCTAAACTATTTTGTTGTATTATCAGAAGGAACATTGATTAAAAAGTTGAATAATTGAACTTCCAAATTGTTGTAACTTATGAGATTTGTTGACTTGTCACTTTTGAAGTGAGACAATTGAATCATCGATTCCTTAGATAAGCTAATTTAAAAAAATATTATATTTAATTCTTAATTTGGCATTCCAACCCTTTCATGCGCTAAATTAGTTTATTATTGAATTTTAAAATTTTCAAACATTGAAAAATCAGTTATTTAGAGAAAATTAGCACAATTTGAGGCTAAAAATTGATTTTAAAAATTTTGACATGAACTTATGGTTGATTGAATTGTGTCAACACCTTCCTATTTTCAGCTTTATAGGTGCATTGAAGATGAAATCTATGCTAAAATCGCCAATTCACTCCGTTCTTTATTCACCATGAAAAGAATGGCACAAACGTCGTAATTATTTTGGCCCTTGTGTGCAGTGTTGGCTTGAAAAGTATGCAAAGCAAAGATTGCTTGCATTGTCAAGGGCGTCATTTGGATTGCGGGGAAATTATTGAGACGCATGGCCAAGGGCCCAACAAGAGATTTATTGTCCGTCACGAGAAAAAATAAAAGATGCCGCGTCGCGCAAATGAAGAAAAGCGCTTTGAAGTGGCGCGGCTGTTGGAGTGAAAGATCGCCGGCTGGTGTCACAACCCGTTACAAGCCATTAGCTGCGCGCGAATATTTTTATCTGCGGCGAAATTTAATTAATCGAATGCCTGGCGAGACAACGCCTATGGCTCGCGGACGAAAGACAGCCGGCCGGCCGCTCACTCTGCAGCCTTTTTTGTCGCGCCAATTATTTCCCGCCGCGATATCAATCATCACAGAATATACTGGCAGGTGGCAAATGTGTAAATTTCTGTGTTGATTAGCGTCGAACTTGAAAAGGTGACGTGCGAAAAAAGAAAAATGTTGGCATGCAAGAAGTGTGAATTATAAACAAAAAAAATTATAATGTAATAATTATTCGATAATTACCATTACCAAGGGGAAAATGGTTGTATTAATTAAACGCATTAATATTGAAAATAAAGAGTTACAACAATTAATTTTTTAATTTGCGAATTTCGTGCATCAGCTACAGAAATTTTTTTTTCCAATACCAAAGAAGCAAATCACGATTATTCTCCTAAAATCTCTTTGTGAGTCTACATTGCACGTGTCCAGAAAATGACGAAGTCGGGGTCGTATTATTATGGTTAATTTTATAATTAAAGCCGAACATCGTTCTCAATATTTATAATGATTAAAGACAAATTAAATTTTTCTATCGAATTATCCTTAATGTTACAGAACCAAAAAATTAGTTTAAAGGAAAAAAAATTAATTGCATAACATATAAAAAATAAAAATTAAAAAAACAAACACTAAAAAAAATTATATATATTGAAGTTATAATTTAATAAAATTAAAATAAATGTAAATATTTACAAATTATAATTACATTTTTATATCTTAACATATTTTTTGCTCTATTTTTCTGTTTTCCTTATTAAATTAGACACAACTGAAAATGAAACTATTTTGCGATTTCAAAATGTCCTAAAAATCAAAACAGACCTGGTATTTAAATGAAATCAACTTAAAAAATTCAAGTCTCTCGTCAGAATTCTCATTTCTTTTGCTGCGTGACAGGTAAACACACACATCTCACTCTCATTTTAATTTAACTCGGCTTGATACGCCACTCATGCATTTGATCTGCTATTTTGATTGACCTGCGGCTTTCGAGATGCGAGACGGAGCGCACACAATATCATAACGAGATATGAAAAGAGGCATTCACGTGTCGTCGTCGTCGTCGGGTGTATAATATTTATTTGTATGTGGTGGCAAATGTGGCACAATCCATCTCTTGACGCGCGGCGTAAAAGGTGCGTCTTGTCACTTCATCCATCATGCCAGAGATTTATACATTACATGCGCGCGACGTGTGCACGACCCCACCCTGTGTGTGCTGCTTCCACACACCAAATCCCACTTTTAATCCCGTTTCCCATTCATTTGACAGGCGTACCCTCCGAATCCGGCGGCGACTGATTTAAATTCTCTCGAATTGTCTCGTCTGCCATGCCACCGTGCTGCAGCAAGCGATGCACCGCTCCCCACACACACACACACACCGCTGCAGTCAGATAAACAGATTGTGTGCCGGACCAGTTTGACGTCTCGAGAGGTTTTAGTGTCAGATCCGCTTTGCGCCGGAAATTTGTCAAGCTCCTGTGTTCAAAATTTCTAAACAGATGGACACAAAAAACAAGATAAATGGAATTTCAATTGGTTTTTATAATCAAAACATTTATTAATAAGGTGAAAAATAGAGAAAAAAAAATATCAGGAATATATATAAAATTAACATTATGCAATTATCATGAGAATTTGTAGAATTGTTTGCAGTTTTCTCTCAAGTGGTTGTTCCTTGTTAAATATTCGATTTTGACAATGTCAAAAGTGTATTTTTTCCAATTAATACAGAGGATTTATGTGTCAGAAATTTTAAAAGAATACAAGAAAAACCTTATTTAAGAAAAAGTTCATTAGTCGTTTTGCAAAATTTACAATTTTAATATAAGTTTTTATTTTTAAAGATCCATGACGTTTTTATATATTATAATAAAAACTTGATAAATGCATGATTATATAAGCCTCAGAGTTTATAGAGAAAAAAATGATGGTAACATGAGATTTGTTTATGTACCACAATACCACATATTTTTCTTTCTAAGTTTTGAGCATGGTTGTAGTTTCTTGAAAAACTGCTTAATGTTGTTATTTTGTAATAGAAGCTTCTGAGCTTTTTCATAAATATATATAGTTGATAAGAATGCTTTATTCGTCCATGAAACTGTATAAGCTTGATACCAAAACACTTCCATTTTCTTTTTTAATTTTCAATAAATTATAATTTCCCCCGAATTTCCCTTCGATTGGACTAAATATATGAATTAAAATACACAAATAAAAAATTGACCACCCTGACAATAAATTATGTCAAAACATTGAATTTCCTTGCACGATAGACACTTATTTAAATATAATTTTATTCAAAAAGCTGCTTAAAGCTTTTTAGTGGAGCCTAATTGGTATTCTATACTTGAAAATCGCTGCTCGGTCCCTCTTTTGCTCTCAGAAAGTTGTCGGTGGATTTGCATGGATCGTTGGCGAGGTGCGCGCGGCATCAAGGTCTTCTTTGCCGAATCATCCGACGGCGCGTCCCAAAATCATTCAAAGTTGGCGTGGCAGTGATGAATCACCAGACACGCCGAGATGAATGGGTCTGGCTGCGACGAGCCCACCCTATCCACACAGGAGAGCGAGTCTCAGGAGCTGATGCATATCAATGTCAAACGCACTTTACCTGCCGATCGGCCACACAATAAATCATCATAAACGGCAGCGAGATAAAGTGGTGCATTCCAGATCGCATCGGCTCTGACACCCCCTTACGCCATCACGGCTTTAATTATTCCCAAAGTTCAAAACCGAGTCCAATATGAGCTAAAAATATACCTAACCGGAGAGTAATTTTGGTATGAAAATTTATTTTGTATTTAAAATATCATTGCTAAAGGTAATTGAAATTTAAAATCATAATATATTTCGATACCTTTGATCAATTTGGGAGTCTGAATTAGAAATTACTGAAATCAGAATTTTTTTTAGCATAATTTTGACTCAAAATTAGCCAAATAAAAAAATTTTAATATCAAATCAAGTTTTCTTACTCTCAAAAAGTTTGGAAATTTAAATTATTGTAAAAACATCTTCTATGCGGTTGTGATAAACTTCAAAGAATTATTTCTAGGCAAATTAATAGCTTATTTTTAGAACGCTTTCAGCAAAAAAGACATCATTCAATCACTATTTTTTGCTATAAAAATAAAATAAATTTAGTTAATTTTTTTCCAGCAATTTTAGTGAAAATGGACAATATTAATTAAACTTACCGCCAGTGGTGAAGGGGCAATCGCGATCAATATCTAAAATAATTTTTTTCCGTAATTTATTTTTTCAATTATTCCTCTCTAAAAAATTATGGTCTGTTTTTTTTAGCTGATTTAACAATTTTTAGTGAGTTTCAATTATTTTGAAACTTCACGATTCTTGCAGATTTGATGATAAAAGGCCAATTCGAAGCTCTCTGAAAAAAAAAATATCCTCCAAATTACATGATTAAAAAAAAATAGATTGCAATATTTATTTACAACAGAGCGACGAGAGAATGCTTTTCATCATTCATCATTGTGTCAGCAAGGCATTATTATCAATCATGGCTGACGGTGATTGAAGTTTTAATAAGCGCGTTTTAATTACTCGTGACAGGTATGCATCTCATAAAGCATAGATATTTATGGGTTTAATTGGTGGCGCTGGTTATTAAACCAGAGGATTAAAGCTGACACACTAGCGTGATGCAAATCTGGCTGCACTTTATCTCGCAGCTGTTTTGCACTCGTTAATCCGCCAGCAAAGCCGGCCATTAGCACTGGCACGCCGTCTTCCTTCCCCTGCTGCGATGTGACGAGCGAAAATCTCTGGCCAAGATTTACGACGGCGGCAAATCCGCTTTTCATCTTTATTAGACGGGCCGACGCATTTCCCGGAATCGCCACGGTTTTATGATTTGTTTGCACTCCTCTAGTTTCCAGGCCAATTATTATCACATCGTTCTAACGCTCCGACTTTAGTAAGCCTCGATTCTGCTGAAAAACACGATTAATAGAGCTCCAAGTTTATTGCGGAGTTCTAGAAAGTTTTTGAAAAATAAAATATTTAATTTTGTTTTCAAAATATTCATAGCATTTTAAATATTTAATTGAACAAATAAAGAGTTTTATTTTCATTTTTGTGTGTTTTATTCATGTAAAATTAAAATTATCAACAGTCTACAAATTTTAATTTTACTGATTTAGAATTCTCTTAAGCCATTTTTTCGCTTAATAAATTACTTTCATAATCAACCCGCCTTGGGACCACTATTTATATTCTTATTAATTAGTTTTCATTGATAACTTTTAAATAACATGAATTATGCTATATTTAATTTAATAATGCTAGAATTGAACTAAATAAATTAAATTAAACTTAATTTAAATTATCCACTTTTGTAAAATAAATATCTCTTACCAATCCAGTTTTACCAGTTTTAGGTATTTGGTTTTTTCAGAAAGTAACAATTTTTGGAACGAAAAATAGGTTTCTGTGCGACAAAACACTTTTGCTGCCGAGGGTGCTGTTTTTGGGCTGATGAGAATTTAATCACCGGCGAGCACTCCCACAGAAAGCTTTAGAGTCTCGTCGTTATTTCTTTCTCTCTAATTTAAAATTCATTAGGCACTCGAGGAAAACAAGTGCGGCGCGGCCTCTCTTTTTCTTTAATTTTTAAACTAAAAAGGCCAAATCTCGTTCGAACACATCTTTCTTATTTTCCTGGCTGGGTGTGGCGGCGGACGCGATGTGTGTTCTTCTTATTAACCGCGAACGGTGTTCCTTGGCCATTGACAACTTGATTCATTTAAATTCTGACACTGACAGCAGAGCAGCCGAGATCTCTCGATGCTGCGACTCCTGTTTGCGGCGTTTCACGGTCGTGCTGAAAAGGGTTTGACGAGGCACACCTGCTGGAGCTACAAAGTTAATTAGATTAAAATTATATTAAAACTCTTAGAATTTCAAGTGCTTCAGAGACGGGATTAATATTTTATATTACGATGATTCTGAGAGCCGCTATGGTTGTTTATTTACAATGGAAATTTGTAAACCTTTATAAATTTTGATAAGTAAGTCCGAGAAATTTAATTCTTTAGTTATTAACTTTGGTGGCGTCTTATTTTAATTGCTTCTCAAAATTAAGATGTTATTTCCTCATACAGAAATTTTCTTATAATTATGCAGCTCATGTTTTCACATAATATAAATAACTGAATAAATACAAGATATTATGTTACCGGTTCTCATGGCTTATTCAAAAAAATTGGCGTCCACGTACTTCAAAATAAATAATTATAAAAAGTAAAGGCCTCTCTTAAAGAAACGTAGAGAATCTTACTTTCTGGATATTACTTGCAATAGTTGTTGGTTTGAATTAATTTATTCATTTACTATTTTTTTTTTAATTAATTTGCATTGTTTTTGTAAATAAATTCAGTTCGTCAACAATGTAATTTTAAAGTTGAATATTGTAAGAAAAAAAATAAGAATATAATATGCTTTAAAATAGATTATTATTATATTTCCAGTGAATTTTACGAAATATTTTCCTAAACAACGCACTGTTGGCTAAAATTCTCTGGAAATATCATATCAACTATAGCGAATTAATAGAATATTTTGCAAAATTCTGGGAAGCTTATAAAATTTTTTCTTAATTTATGTAAAAAATTTAAAAAATTCTAGATTGTAGCAATTTCTGCTCACCAAAATCTGATTTCTTGCACGCTGAATTGAAGGCTGTGTTATTATAAGCAAGTAAGGCGTTCTGATTATTCAAATGAATCTGGATGAAGATGTTGGAGTGCGAGACATGCTGCCTGGCGTGTTCATGACTCGCGCACCCTTCATTGCTGCTTTCTTCGGCTCTTTATCTGCTCATCCACTCGATTATTGCGCGCGAGTCGACAAGAGGAGCGAACGCCCTTCGTTAGTCCCTCCAAGGTCCAATTATCGCGCGCGCTTCTCATTACGTGATTGTAGCAAATCCGTTCTGCTGCGCCGAGTCGTGCACCACGACCAACCGGCAACCAATTCAATAATGAAAACATTAACGAGCGAGAGTCTCTTGCTTGCCTGTAAGTGCATGCATTTTGAATGCTAATGGCAGAAGAGACTTTGCAGAGAAAGAGCAACTGATTAAAAAGCCACTCGGGCTGACATTACTTGCTGTAGTGAGAGGAGTTCAGCACCCGGTGATTTGCATTTTGCTTCAGATATCATCCCTGCTGCATGAAAACCAAATTAAAGCGGCTCGCTACTGAATTAACTCTCTTGAATTAAGATCTCTCTCTGTGACAGCGACACAATACAAAAACGAGCACTTTTGTGCACCAAAAATCCTTGCAATCAGATTTGAAAGCCTGCTGAGACTATATTCATTTGGTACGGATTTTGTTTCATAAAGTTGTCGTATTTTATTATATTAAAAAAAAAAACGTTTTAGACTTAATGCAATTTCAAAATTGTATTTGTTTAATTTTCGTTTATAATTTTAAATTAAATTAAGAAAACAAAAATGTTTTACTTCCTTCACAAACATGTTACAAAATTTTAAACTAGATGGAGACTAAATCAAGTATTAATTTTATATCCTTCAATTCAATAAACAAGCCTGATGGCAGGAAGTAGTAAAAATGCATAGAAGAATATTGAGATAAATTTTTTTTATAATAAACTTTGTCCCTTTTTAATTTTGTATTTGTGGCAATTAGAAAAAATTAATGTTATCCATCGCATACTATTTATACGGTAATTTCGTAATTTAACATGGAGAATAGTCGATTATTAGTTTTTTTCTTCGTCGTTAGTTTTTTTTCAATAAGAAATTAAAAAAAAAGATATTATTGAACCTTCTCTCAATTTAATAGTTCGTTTATATGTTTCATTTCCATTTAGGATATTAAAAGATTTTTTTTTTTAAATTATCAATATTCTTCCAATTGTATAAAACTTTCCACAATTGGAATCTAGATGGAGACTGGATGAACAAAACAAAATATTTACTTCCTTAAATCACATTTTTCTATTTAATCCAGCCCAATGAAAAGAAGCCGGAAAATGTGCTGAAAAGGAGTGATTATTCATTTCTCTATAAATAAATCCAGGTCCTTATCCATTCCCTTATTTGGTCATAAAACAAAATCAATCTTATGTTTATATTTGAATAGGATGCGGTTTTGAACAAGGAAGAAAACTAACGAATTTTGATAAACAAATCACAGGAAATCTGTCAGCAACCACAAAAACACAATCATGCTGTGCGTCAACAAATTGGATATTTTAAAATAAAACCAGGGAATTCCTCAGACTGGAAAATGTACGACCTTATTTGGTAATCTGATCGGGCGTGTGTTAAAAAAAAATTCGAGATTTAGAACAGAAAGTAAAGAAAAAAGTTTTTTAATAAATAGTGTGCACCAAAACCTGCAGTTCAAATATAAAAGCAACACGCTATTTATCAAATTTCGCAGGTCTGTTCTGATTGTGAGACATTTTTACTCTTCAGTTGGATAAAACCGGAGGAAAATTACCCTAAAAGCTTGAATATTGATTTTTCAAAAGTAAATTTAGCAGAAATGTAAATGAAACTTTTTTCCAACATTCCAATGCTTTTTAATTATAAATTCTCTTTTTGCTACATATTTTCCTAAAAGTTAATATTGAGATTACCTAAGAAAATTTGAAGATTTTTTTGTAAAAAATTATTTTTTTTCAATCGTTTACAAATTTCAACAATTAGAAACTAGATGGAGACTGAATGAACGGAACAAATTATTTACTTCCTTCATTATTTTTTTTTATAATCCAGCCGAAAAGAAAGAAGCCGGAAAAATGTGCTGAAAATAAGGGATTATTCATTTCTCTATAAATAAATCCACGTCCTTAAACATTGCCTTATCTGGCGATAAAACAAAATCCATCTCATGTTTACATGGTTTGTTTATATTTAAATAAGAAGCAGGTTTAAAAAGCAAGAAAACAAAACGAATTTTTATGCATAAATCAGGAACTTGGTTGGGAACCACAAATATTACAATCATGCTGTGTGCGTCAGCAAATTTGTCCAATTTGAGATTAAAAATTAAGTCAGGGAATTCCTCAGACTGGAAAATGTGCATCCTTTTTTGGTATTTTGATCAAGTGTAACAGGCAAAAATGTTCAGTAAAATTGTTTTGAATTAAAATAAACTAGGCGGGGAAAAACACCGATTATCAAGTCTGAAATGAAACAAATTCATGTTATATCTCTTAAATTAAAATAAAATTGTAAAAAATTGTGGTGTTAGTCATGTGAGAAATTTAATCAAGATAAACATGGGGAGTTATAAAAAAACCATAAATATAATTATAATTAGGTCGTGTTAGTCATACAAAAATTAAGATTTGTTCAAACGCACAATTTAATCACACAAAAGAAGTTGAAAATCCTCTCATGACAAGCGTAATCCCAAACAAATCTACAACTGCAGGATTAATCTATCAACTTATCGCACATAAATGCAAAACTTCAATATGCGAATATCACGAATTACCGCCCCTGGTCGCACTTGACAATTTCTGAACAGGCGCAATGATTGATAGGCGCAAATCATTCTAGAATTTTGACGTGCTAGAGAATCTGTCAAATATTTTTTTTTTATCAAAAGTGGAAAATGCATTCATAAAAAGCAAAGGAATTTTACTAGGAGAAACCCCTTTTCAATCAAGTTCGAAATAATAAATAAAAAAAAAAAAAATGTAGGAAGCTGCTCGGAAAATGAGTGATTGCTGCAGCTATGGAGAGGAGAGCGAGCAGAAGCGCGTCGCTGCAAAAAGACCCCCTGCGTGCGTGGCAATTTTTTTCCTGCTGCTGCTGCTGGGGGTCACATGGTGATTATTATTACTACACGCCACACAGTGATGATATTATAGCCTTAAGAGAGTCATGGGGAGGAGAGGAGGAATGATGTATGGGCCACATATCATCAATCATTCTTTCACTCGCGCGCTTGTCACCCGGCGATATTACAACCTTTGCTTACTTTATGAGCGCCGAGCGAAGGCCCCCGGCGGGCACGCAGCGAAATCGAGGTTGCCACAATATTTCTTGATAATGTGACACCACGGCAAAAAAAAAAAAAAAAAAAAAAAAAACAGTCGCTGCCAGCAGCCGCCGCGAAATATGAAATAATAATATGTCACACCGCGCGATTGAGCAGACTTTCGCGCTGCATTTCGCTCGCTGTCACTCCGCCTGTCTCCAAAATGAGGCTTTGTCACTTTCCTCCTGCTGCTTCATCAAATGTGATGCACTAAAAAGCAAAAGAAATAATTATAAAATATTTATATAGCTGCGCAGATGAATTTATAAAATTTGAAAGGTTGATTTATTGATTATACATTATATCGCATTATATAGTATTTAAAACGGCAAATGAAAAAATATTGTAAAAAATTCTGTTTGTTATCGGTCAACACTTAATTATTATGGCACATTAGAGGTCATATGGATATCCGGTATATATCTAGCATATTCCAGGCTATGTTTTTTGGGTTGGTACTACTGCTTATGCACTGGCTGGTTGCTACCGGTTTAATTAGGCGGTTTTTCTTATCACTATGGCTGTTAGTGGGCGTTTTTCCTACAGCTAATCGTCTGCTTCTATTATATTCACCTTGTTTCCAGTCTCCAATTTAATTAATATATTGGATAAGATGAAATTTTTTTATTTTTTTTTTTTTTTATTTGTCATTTGATCCAAAGTTTAGATGATCTCAAATATTACAGAATACGATTTTCTGAATTTATAGGAGAATACTGCAATCGATTTCGTTGAAAAGCAAGAATTCCATAAAAATGAATTTTCTTGAGCTCTACGTATGGGGTACATAAATTTTTCCCTAAATTTGAATTTTGCAGATTTAAAAGATCATGTGATAAAGCGCTTGGCCCCAAGTTAGATTGCAATAATATTTCTGGGTCAAATGTCACAGTATGACCCAAAAATGAATTTATTAAAAAGAAGAGTGGGCAATCAATACGACGTTCAGGAAATTGTAAAAAGAAATGGTTTTAAATTTCGAAATAGGCCAATTTCACTCGCATTTTTCATGAGCAAGAAAAAATATTAATAATTTAAGATTGTTTTCATCACAAAACCAAATTTTGAGAAAGGCTAAGGCTTAAATACTTTAATTTGATTTTCAATTTTGTTTTGATGCATAGTAAATACTTATTATTGATATTGAATAATGTTAATTTGTTTCGTGATTTTTTTAAACATTTTGTGTAGAGATATGTCACATCGGCTTTGTGTTTTTGGAAAATGAAGTTAACAAAACGATAATAAAAATTACATCTAGTCAACGAAACAGGGAAATTTAATTTTATTAAAATTCAAAGTTAAAACAAGGGTGATCTTGGCAATGGAATGAAAAATGCCCTGGGCAAATGCAATTCATCACAGAGCAAGAAGTGTATCGCGGCGCAGGAGCTGCGTGCGTGGCGGCGGCGTTTTATTATTGTAATAGGCATAAATCTGCAGGCTGGCAAACGAGTCGGGAAAATATAAATCTTGATGTTGAGCTCTGCGGTCACGACAGGCTGCGTTTCAGAATAAGCCGCCGAGCATTATAATTGAGCCTTCAGGAATTAACACGCTATTCTCTCTTCCCGAGATAGAAAGAATCGGCTGATTGAATAATGATTTGACTGGCTGCTTTAATCATGTTGCATTCATTTGCTACATGACTCTGCATACCTCTTTATTATTCTTGCTCATGAGAAAATGTTTTATAACAACCCGAGAAATGTATTATCCTCGATTACAGGCCCGACTGCGCGCATTGCTCAACGCTCTCTGAAATTATTCCCTTTCAGCCAAGCGAACATGCGGAGCCGTCTTTTGTCGGGCTCGCTTGAAAGGGCCCCGTTGTCAGGAATTTCCATCACACCGCACGAATCATTAGTAAAATATTTATCACATTGTAAAATAAAACTTACTTGACAGACGTGACACATCACTTTGAGTCAATTTCGCTTGGGAAAATAAATGAAATTTGGCAAAAGCTGCATTAAGTGAAAATCACATTTCTTTATAATTTTCAGCGCTTTAAAAGTTTTTTTCAGTTAAGACACTATAAGACACTAATTTTGAGAAAAATTAGTGTCGTTTATAAATTTATCCACAGGCCATCCCTACAAAGAATGCATCAAACTGATTGCACAAAATCAAAACAATTATGAGATTAAATTACTAAAGCGTGCAAAACAGGTTTTTAGCTCTTTGGAAAAAAAACAGTCAGTATATTCAATACATATTTGTTAATAATTTATTAAACCCGACATAAAGAGTTTTTTTAAAACTGCTTTTGTACTTTTTTTGGAATAAACAATATTGGGCTGCACAAATGTATTAAAATTACCAGGAAAGGAAATAATATATTATTTGCTTCTAATTTTGAGGAATTCCCTCTGACTTTATCTGAACAAAAATATCCAGTTCAAACAAATTTTATTGACCCACGGAATGATTGTACTATTTTTCGTTGCCTATACCACCATTTCCTGTTTATATTTCTAAATTCAGAATTCGGTCGATTTCTTCCTAGTTTAAAAGTGCTCGTTTTTAAGTGTTATATTATGAGATCGATTTTATTTTTTTTTTTTAAAAAAAGGGCATTATTAATGACAATATAGATTTGTTCTTAGAGAAATGAACTATCCACAATCCTATCTTTGCTCAATTTGATCCAAAACAATTGAATTTTAATTTCATTCCAAATCTTAAGTGAAAGGAATAAATCTGGAAAATGTTTCTCATGTCATAAAAAAATTATAAAATAAAATAGATCATAATTATTATTTTAAAATGATTTTTTTGGCTTCAAATATATTTCCCAATTGGATATTTATTTTATGAACAAGTGCCATTTGTAGAAGGTTCTGGAAAGTGAAGAGAAAAAGTGGCAGCTCACGAAGTGCGGCTGGCCGATGATTATTCCGACGCCCTCAGCTATTTCTTCCAGTGATATGGATTTGTGTTTTGCTGCCAGATGACTGACAGTTTCACATTAGAATGCTAATCATCGTTAAAGGGCAGGCACAACTGCTTTTGTGCTTCTTTTTGAATTCACTGCTGCTAAGTGGTTTTCTCACATAATAAAAGGTGAGTGGTGTTTGTATCATGTCACTCGGCCGCGCGCATTATACTTTGTGTACACCAAGGCCTCTCACCTGTCTGTCACTCACTCCGTCCGTCCGACTGCGCTGAAAACTTTTGACTTCTTTAATGTGGGCTGCGTGAAAAGAGCTGCACGAATTTATATTCCTCTTTTTTTCATTTCACTTATACGAGAATGGGATAAAATATGATTCTTTATTCGTTCTCTCTTGGGTGAGAAGCGCGAAGATGGATCTGCGTGGGAATTGGATTTGACGTTGCGTAAATTGCCAAGATGAGACGCCGCTTTTCACAGACGGCAGCAGCTTTGTACACAAAATTAATCACTTTTCAATCTTTTGACAAATGTGTTTTGAAACGCGCAGCCTGTGGGCCCGCCAGCTAATGAAATTTTTTCAGACAACTCGTTTCTATAAATGTTTGGAGAAATATTGAAGATTAGGCAACCAGCGCCTCACGGGTACCAAGCTGGTTGCAAAACATAAAAAATAATTAAATGAGCTTGTCAGAATAAATCATTAGTACATAAACGATTATCATTGTTGTTTTTTATTCAACGAATTGTTTCAATAGAATTGTAATTACATGGTATATAATTTAAATTTTGACTTCAGCATTTTATGTTTTGCGTATTTTTGTTCTCTTTAAAAAAAAACACATTTATTTTTTCAATTTATCCAGTATTAGATTAGCTGCAACTTCTAATTTTTTTGAGGAAATTCCCGATCACGGTGCTGATTCATAATTAGGTACAAAATAGAAATAACAGTATTTCCTTGATTGGGTGTAATTTTGTTGAGTTTATCAGCAGAAAAACCCACGAAAAATAGAGAGCAAGTTTTCACAAATTTCAAATGCTGGCAGCTCTTTTAAAATTTGGAAATCATACAATTATTTGATTTTTTTTGAAAAATTTCTTGAAAGTTTTATAAAATTAGAATATTCAACAAAAATATTGAGAAGTGAAAAAACAGAAAAAGGGATTTCAGATGAATTAATCTTTCAAAAATTCTGTATGATTAAAACTGTGGAATTAAAATTTAATATTGGTTTAAAGTTCCCCAAAATTATGTTACCTTCCCACCCCTGATTAAATATTTAATATCACACATTTAAAAGGAATTCTGATTAAAATAAAACAAAATAATTATTCATACCTATTTTTTATTCAAATTATTTAATTCCGATATTTTCTTGTCCATGTTCATTAATTGACCTCATTTGTGTAAATTAACTAACAAAAAATAATTATAATTTTGATTAAACAATTTGAAATTGTTCCCAGCCAAAAATGCCATGCTGGCTGGATGGGGGGCCAGCGCCGGCCTGCCATGACACGCCAGCGCGGGCCAGCCAGCAATGGTACGCACCGAACTTTGCAGGCCGACCCAGCACTGGGCCGACGCCGGCTCCAGCCATGGCACCACGCTGGCTAGCCATAATGCAACCGACATGGCTCAAAATGGAATAGCCATTCACACTTTTTGCTTTTTTTATTGTTAATAATTTTAATTTTTTTAATTTCATAATTTGGGTAATATTAAAAAAAATATTATATTATAAATCAAATGACATATTTATTCAGGAAAAATAATGTTTTTATTATTCAAACTTAAATTACACAATAATATCAGTCAGAAGTCAAGAATATTTGTTTATGTTGAGCATTGAATATTTTGATATTTTACAATAATAATTCAAATTTTAAACCAAACACAAAAGGATTAAAGCTTAATGGAACCAACAACCAACTTTTTACTAAATTTCCATATTGTTTGAAAAACTCATTTCACCAAATTTTATATAAATCAAGTATATAAGTGAATTTTATTTGACAAATTTATTAGAATATCTTATATAATAATTTATAATATAAATTTATAGATCGATCTAAAAATTATTTTCCTAATAAAATCGCATTCTACCTAATTGATGAAGCACATTATCCACAAAGCAGGGCTGATGTCGATACCGCTGATGTCTAAGGTGTTCTTCAAAAGGTTCTGAAACAGTAAAATTTTATAATTAAAATTGCGAATTAAATAGCAAAAAAATCTCGATTGTTATATTAATTAATAAAATTATTCATTAATACCAAAATAATTTAAAAATGGAATTAAATTTTTCCACGACGTAAACTTATTTATTGTGTAAGATTTTTTTTTAATATTTTGAGAAACAAAATTGATTCATTACCTCTTTTTATTTTAACAAACAGGGGATGAGCAGTGGTTATATATTCCGCGTTGCTGGGTCTCCTCGGCAAAATTTGACTCCTAGGATTTTTTTTTCTGAAATGCAAATTAATAAATAAAATTAATAATCGGAAAAACGCAGATTGAATGAATATTAAATTAATTTAGGCGCAGTTTAGGCAAAGAAACGCCCTTCAAGCATGCTTCGTATATGTGAGAGATGTTTGTTGTTGGCGTCAAAATGATGCTACGCTAAGTTATGCCAGAATTAAATCATTTTTAAACTTACCATTTTTGTTAATCGGTGACCGAACTTGATCCCAGCATCGGCGAACAAAATTTTTCCAGAAGTGTTGCAATTTAAGGGCTTAAATTATGAAAAAATGCGGAGCTGATAAACGTGGTCAGGTCTCGCGTCCGACATGTTTGTTGTTATTGCCCTGACGCCGCTGTGGGAGAAGCGGCGCATTGCCTGAAATCTCTCTTCTGCGCATATGCGCATGCTAGAAAGTCACGCACGCAGTGTATATGGCTGGCCGCAACGCAGCCACCGCACAGCCAGGGTGGTATAACTTTTTCCTTCCAACCGATCTTAAACGCATTTATATCATGCAAAACAAACTTACTACATTAAATTACATTTTGAAAATTCCCTAACATAAATAAAAGAATATTGAAGTGACTGAACTTGCGTGCGTGAATTACTTATATTTTGTAGATTAAGAGCAATTAAAATTATATGAAGAAAATCTTAAAATTGTACGCAGTCCAAATTAAAAATTTTTAATATATTTATATATTTTGTAAAGGGTGTAAATAAATCATAAAGTTAAACTGAGCTAAACAAATAATTTAAATTAAATAAAACCATAAAAAAGATGTTTTAGATATTTTAAATAAAAAATATTAAAAAATAAAATAAAGAAAAATGTAAAAGGAAAACATCTAGACTAAATGACTTGTTTATTTTATTTTATAAAATTTAATGATAATTTAAATAATTATGATATATTAAAAGCGTTGAACAATATTGGCACCCATTGACAATGCCATTAATGCTCAATCACGGCTCAATTCGGACTTAGAATATGGCAGGGATCATTTTTTCTCTCCTTCTGAGAGCCACCGCGGTGGCTGCCTGCTGGCCGCTCTCGAATTGCCAGCACTTTAGCCAGCAGCCAGCAGCGCGCCCTCGCTGCCAGTACCGGCCCTGCACTGGGCCACCATGGCATTTTTGACTGGGTTAATAGAAGTTGCCTTAAAAAACACATTCACTCTATAATAATTTCCCATGGGTTTCAGGAAAGGATTGACATCAGAAAAAGCTTCGCACCCCCTGCGGCGTCTGCAACCCGCGGCCGTTTTTTATTTGGCAAAGTTCGCGCGGCCACCAGTGGTGCGCGAGCGGTGCCTTTTCTGGAGCCGCGTCGATCTTTTTAACGAGCTCCTTTGAAGTCGCGCTCGCTCGACTACATTAAGACAAAAACACTGGTCGGCAGTTAGCAGCTGTCCAGATGAACTGTAATAATCATAAAGTGTGTCTGCGGCGGCCGACATGCAAAGAGGCGGAGTTTTGCAAGGGCGGGCGATTCGCGCGATGGGGCGGAGCGCGTTCGGCAAATTTATTTCACACACATGCAGCCACCGAATGAATAATTGTAATGATACACTCGTTCATGCTCACTTACTTAATAACAATTTCATGACCTGCAACATGGCCACTGCGGCGCGCGGGTAATTACAAAACAAGCGCACGAACACGCACAGATCCGCGCGCGATAACGAAGCATTCGCCACCAAATTATATCAAGTGGGGACAAATTTTGCATGTTTTTTGCCACTTTTTCGCAGCTGCGGTTGTCACGAACTAAATCAGCAGATGGAAAATTTTGGCCGATTGCTCTAATTTACACAAATTTTAAACAAAAATGGTTGGAACAAATTGTATATGAAACGAAAAATATTTGTGAGAATATTCAAAATTATTCGGATATGAATTCCTCTATTAAATAAAAGCGAATCGTTTTGGTAAAACCTTTTCACTAATGTTTATTTTGCCAGCATGCGGATTTGAATATGGGACTGAACCTCAAATTATGAACATAGTAGTTTTCTCATTAAAAAAATTCACCCTCGTTCTAAAAAAAAGTTGATTATAATTAAAAATTTTATTTTGCTCAGTTAGAAAAGAATGTAAAAAATAAGTACCTGATGCCAGGTAAAAAGAAAAAAATACAATTTATATAAAATTGAAAAGTGTTTTAAATGGCAATTGTAGTTTTGTTTTATTGATAGAAATTATTAAATTAGAAAATGCAGAAAAGACTTCATCAATCAAAATTATTTTCTATGTAATAATACTGATCGTAATTAATGTAGTAGCAAATTAATCAATTTTTAACAATCTCGAATTAAATTTGCTTATTTAAATCACTGGATTTAAAGTTAATTTCATTTTCAATAATTATTCTAATGGTTATAATAAAGCTAAAAAAGCTAAAATTGTTCATCTGGAAGTTTTAAACAATTTGAAACAAATGGATTTGAAGCTTTACTTACATGTTTTCCAGGTATCTTTTCATCTCTATATAACTTTTTTAAATTTATTCTAATTCACAACAATTATTATTTGGCTTGTAAATGAGCTCTTTCCATATTATGGGAAAAAAATCCGTATTCTGGAATAATGTGAGAATAATTTTTTTTTAAATAATAATTTATTTTGAACGAACTTTCCCTATTCTAGTCAATAAATATTCAAAACATCATATATAATTTTTTTATTACCCCCTCGATCCGCAGCAGTCCATACAATATGACAGACCAGTAATTATATTAATGGTGGAATTAATTTTACAGTGTAATCACTTTTGGGCCGTGGGCGCCGTCTAGCATAAGTAATGAGGCGTTGAGTGCCGCCTCTGTATAATATTAATAACGCAACAAAATTTATTATACGTCGGCGCTGCTCCATATATTTATGATTGATAATTTCACCGGCACACCTAATTTAATTGTAAAAATTCGTAGGAAGCTGCCAATTATGAGTGGACGGCCACTTTTTGGCATTCCCCCCGAATATAGTTATTATCTTTTATTGCCCCGAATTAGTTTATGGCCGGCGGACGAGGAACGAATTTTTTGGTCTTGAACCATCGCATGATTTTACGTATTCAGAATGACAACTGCGCGTTTGTTTTTTTATGGTGCCGTCTGCTGTAGAATATAATCATTTTTTCTCTATACTTGTCAATATGGCTAATGAGATAAGCTGTGTTGTTATTTTACGACGCCCTCAGGACTGGAAATTTAAATTCAGGGAAAAATTTATGCATTCAACATCATTCGGTCGATGATTATAAATTATCAAGCACACGCAGGAGGGCATCATAAAACTTTATTGCCAGGCCATAACTTAAAATCACCGCTCTTGTGAAACGCATGATCATATCGAGAAGATATTTGGTATGAATTGTCGGATTACATTATGCATGGAAAGATGATTCAGCATAATATGTAATTTAACAACTTTTGTAAAGCCACGCTCTTTTTCTCTTTTCAACATCAAGGAAAAAGTTTAATGCTCGTTTCTTACACAAAATATATTGATTCATAATCAAACAATGAAAGAATTTATGGAAATAACTTATAATTTTTATTCAACTGCATGTTGCATACAAAAGCTATAGGAAAACTCAACAAATTAAAATATCTTTCAAATTTCTTTTTATTCACATGTTCACTAATAGTGGATAGTTAATTAATATTATGTGTATCAAATGTTAATTAATAAATGCTAATATTCTGTTTAAAACTATTGCATCATTTTATTATTTACGTATTTTGTGCATTTATTTATTTCTTTAATATTTAAATTTTTATTTAAAAAAAATTAAATTTAAAATTCTATAATGAAATCTAATTAAAAAGTTATAATGATCTTAAAAATTTAAATTACTATTGTGTCTGAAAAAAACCCTTCTAATTTTAATTTGGCCCTTAAGTCGACTATTAACTCTATCTAGCTTCAAGGGACTACTTTGGGAACCATACCCGTCAAAGAGTTTTTCTTTTGCTGTAATTAAGTGTTTGAAATAAGCTATATTTTTTCAGGACATCGCTTCACTTCATTAAAATTATCTATTATATATTAGTTTTAATCAGTATATTTGGCATTTTTAAATTGTTAAACAGTTAATTTTAAAATATCTCAAATTTTCTTATGGAAAAAGCAAAAAATATTATTTACATTTAAGTAAATTAGACAAAAAAATATGAAAAATAAAAATTATTTCAATTTCATACCATACTACCAGTAGTTTCGCTCATCAAAGTTATAGGAGAGGCTCTGAAGGAATGTGCTATAGCGGAGGCGCATTTTTTCTTTCCTGGAAAGCAGGGGTAAATTATGGCCATAGGCAGCGGGCGTCATGTTGAAAAGGGCTTTTAAAAGATAAAAGGTTGGAATGGATGGCACACACACTCAGTCTCTTGTATATAGTTACACTTTATATGCTAAGTCGGCTGAAGTTGTCTCATAAATTTCACTCGCGCGCAGTTGGTGTGGTGGCTTTTTAAAACTATAAGGAGTAATGAAGGCGAGCGCCGAGAGAGAGAGAGAAAAGGACACATTATGCTAAGTGTATGCGCGCCGACTTGGAGATGGAAAAGAGATGTCTCCGGCTTTATTAACACATTGTTTTACATTTTATTCGGCCGATTCATGAGCCGTAAAACTGCCCGAGTCCGCATGACTTCATTTCAGTAAAGTATAACGAGTAATAAAACAAGACTGTTTATATTATTGATACTCATAATGAACTTATTGTACGAACATAAAAGCAGAAATTGAGGAGTAAATATTACTTTTCTTGCAAGATGATTAATAATTTTTAATTTTCAAATTGAAACATAAATTCGACTTGTAGACAAAAAAACAGAATTTAAATAAATGCCATATTTTACGTTCTGGAATAGGGAAAATTAATTTACTTTAGACATTTTGTATGGAAACAGAATTTTAGCGACCCAGAATTGAAGAATGTACGGCTACTAATATGCATTTGATGAAAATTAAACTATATTTCCATGCGCTATTTCTGACCCTATCCTATTATGACTAATTTTACAGATGCTCATAGAAAAACACTTATTACAAAAATATAATTTATATTTAATTTTATATTAAATCTCAAGCAGAATTAATTCCCTTTTATTTGAATATGCTCAAAAACACTGTTTATTTGTAAAAAAATAAAATTGACTTTTTCCAAGCCTCCGTCTTTGCCTCCCTCATATTACTCACTCTAAGCGATCTGATTTGAACACCTGCCAAGAAAATTCTGCAAAAACAAGGAAAAATAGAGGAGGAAGATTTGGAAATAATAAATTAGCCGTGCCGACTAATAAAAAGGCCAGTTTATTTGACGTGGAAAGGGACGATTTGGAGGAGATAAAAGAATAAGGGCGGGCAGCACTGGAGATATCTTTTTAATTCTTATCTGCCGCGAGATTGATGATTTAAATAAATGTTGTTGGGCTGTAAAGTGAGGAATAACTTAAATAAAACAGAGGGACTGGAGAGAGAAAGAAAGAAAGAAAGAGCTCGCTGGAGGAGCAAAAACACATAAATAAAAGAGAGCCAGAAGGGGGGCTCATTTTCTTAAAGCAAATGATGGGACCGCCACTCGTAAAAAGAGTCGTAAATCTCTTTTTCATGGAGAATAAAAAGAAAAGGCCGACGCTGGGCCTGCGCTGGCACACACACTGTGTGTTACATGAGTATAATATTAGACAAGCAGCAGAGAAAAATATTCCTCAAAGGCTGCTTGCTTGCTTTATGGCGAGCTAACAACAGTTGTTAAAGTTAGAAATATATATGGCCGCGCACAAATAAAATATGTTCGCAATACAAGCCGTAGCCACAACATCCTCTCTCTCCATTTGGCTCCTCACCGGTGCTAACTTGATATTTATATACCTTGATTAATCCCCGGAGATAGCCGCAGCCTCAGCATGCACGCTGCGCCTGTCTTGTTTTATCCATATAATATTTCCCTCGAAAATAATTTACTGCACGAGATTCCCGAAAGATTTATCATCACCGAATAAAAGAAGTGTATAAATTATTGCTCTGCCCGACTGGAATGCTGAAACAAAGAAACATCAAACCGAACAGAAGCTATTCCTGGAAAATTATTGTCCGACTTAATTAATTTATTCGGACAGGGTAATAATTTTTCATAACCGCTGAGTAACGATCCTGATTTTGATATCATCATTATTATATTTGGAGCCTTTGAAGATGCCCGCCCTCATTTACATGGCTTCAATATTTTGACGTTTCCAGATGGCTGGGTTTCGCTGATCGTGTAATAAATCCACTAACGAGGCTCAAAGGAATCTGAGCAATTTGATTTTTAATTGGAGTTGAGAAAAAAATTGCTCCCAAGGAATCTGCCGTGTTTTGCGCATGAACCATCCGTGACTCGCACAGATTTATTTTGAAAAAGGAGAATATAAACAGACGCTATTAGTCATTAATTAAATTTCAGAATACTAAGGTGTATTTAACTAACTTCCTTCTCGATTAAAAATGTTTTAGAAAGGGTGAAATTGTTATAAGTTCGCCTAAAAAGCAATTGGAATGTGGCTCAACGGTGTAAATAATTGATTTCAAATTGATTTTAAGAAGTTGACAATATTTAAAATATTATTCAAATTTTCCCCATTGTAAGTGATATAAATAATATTCAAGCTTATTATATGTACATTAAAAAGAAAATAGTAATTTATCATTATCTCAGAGCAATTCTGCCATGAGAGAAAGAGTTAGGAGGAATTATTTTGTAAAAAAAAACAATATTAGAGTTTTTTTTCCCAAAGTAGAATTTTATGCTTTGCCAGTTCTAAATTTATTATTAAAAAAGATGGCTTGAAAATCTTGGTTTTATAAAATTTTATCACTATTTTCCTTCATGATCAAACTTTATTTTTGTTCATTTTTTACTAAAAACAACGACCATCATTAAGAAATTATAGCAAAATACGTTATTTATTTTTAATATAATATTTAAACATATAAATGCAGAAAATATCAAGAATAACTAACAGTTGCAATCTTGCCGTTGTGCCGCTTTCTTTCCTTTGATAGAAGCATCTTTTCTCTTTGCCAATTTGTTACATCTTGAAGAGTTCAATGTTGTTGTTGTGGAAAACGTTTTGCGTCTCTTGGCGTCTGCGGCACAAAGCACGGCAATCACAACAAATCTCTTGTGTTGCCGAGGGAGAGTAAAAATGATTGCTTTGAGGGCAAAGTTTGCCGACACTTTCTTGCTGATAACGTGCGAGAGAGCAACTCTCCGAGGGCCAATCGATGTTAAAACCCCTTGCAGTCGCCGCCGCACCACCTTTCTGACCCTCGCCCACGCTCCATAAAACAAAGAGCCCGCTGCAGGGAAGTGCGACCAACGACCAATTATTATGTCCGTGAGACCATTTATTGTTAGATCTAAAAAGGTGACATTTACCTAAATTCATGTTTTAATTTAAAGAGTTAATTCATGTTTTACTTTTAAAGAGGATTTTACGTGGTTTTACTGAAAGTGTGCGAGAAAAACTTGGCTTTGAAGAATGGAAAACATGCCAAATTTTTTACTTTTAATTAAGAAATTGATTTTAAATGACTCAAAAATTTTATCTTTTTGTGTCATAAAAAATCAAATTAGAACAGAAAATTCATGACAAGGACACTTACAACTAATTTGAAGATTAATGTTTTATGTTCTAAAAAGATAAAAAAAAATTATATTTTGCATTAGGTCGAAAATCATTTTCTCTCTATCATATTTTACTGAATTTGAATAAAGAATAAATTTTAAATAAATAATGGAAGAGAAAATTGTGAATTTAAAGAAAAGTAAGTTTTAGATTAATTAGTTGTAATTTTCAAAATCTATGCTTCAAATAAATAATAATACTTGCTGCCAAACTTTGTAAAGATATTGTTTTATGCGAAACGCATTCAATTGATATATAGTACAGTAGTTTCAATTCACAATAAAGAATTTTTTTTAACTAAAGAACAGGATAAACGTAACATAGAATAAATAAGTAAATTAATTCATAATATTTTACTCATTACCAACATAATTGTCAAAACAATTTACATAGAATTATTTAATTTTGGACATATAAATTAAAACCAGTAATAAATAGCAAAGTTATGCAAGTTAGATTTTACTGTTTTTGTGCGAATAAAAGAAAATATATTTTGCTCTTGCTCCGCATTGGAAATACAGGGAGTCAGATAAATCAGGCCGAGTGGAGCGGCCTTTTTTCCAGATTAAAAGTTGGTCGCGTTTTCTTGGTCGGATTGACTGTCTGTGGAATGAAGCGGCGGCGAGAAACGACGAGGGAGGAAAAAGCTCCACACCATCTGTCTCCTCTTGTTATATATCAGTGGCAAAGAAAGCTTTATGGAGACAAATCTTTACACTAAATCCATCCGTCTGTCGGAGCTAACCTGCGGCCTCCAATGTTCACCTTTATAAATTGCCTGTCGCCTCGCTTTCTCCCCCACCCTAACGACATTTGTTAAAATAAAAACATTGCACGCTTCGATCAATTGATTTTCCTGAAGCCAAAGTCGCTTGCGTTTTCCCTCGCACGGCAATAAATTTACACTGGGCTTTATTAAATTTCTTACATTACAAATTAGCTTGGAGAAAAGGAAATTCTCTGGCGATTTATTGAATTACTATCTAGCCTGGTCTCTTTTAATATTGCAGTTTGAGATTTTTCAACTCTACAGAGGGTAAAGACAAAAGTGCTTCCAAGCAGGAAGAGGCACACACCACACAAAACATAGTGCGATATTCATGCAGACATCATTAATGCTGCTCTCATCAGTTTCGATATTTCGATAATAATAATGAAATCTTAATTAGTTATCTTATAACATTTATAAAAATCACATTCAAATGATTTTACTTTCACATAGACCCAAAAGAAATATTTCCAAATAATAGAAACAAATAGTAGTTGTAGGTATGACGAAAATTAATATTGCAAATAAAGCAACAAAGAATTAAAAAAAAAAAAAAAAATAGGACGGTGAATGTTATCGTAATTTCAATGATAAAATTGTTATGGAGTTGTGGTTTTTGTATATTAATCGACGCAGCACAATAATATTTAAGTTTCCTTGTTTGAATTATCAGCTTAGTTTCAATTTAAACTTCAAGTTGAACGCTTCAGAGCGAGCGACTAAATGCTGCCAAAATGGATATATCAAAATTAGTATTCATTATCATTTGCCTGCCACCAGCATTTGCAATAGGTAATTTTCAAGTATTGACACTAAAATCTAATTCAATTATGTTTTGGAAATCAGATGATGAAAGAGTTTTATCAAAAAATCATCAAAATTCAGGCTGTCAGTACGGATTATTTGGTAAATACTGCACCAAGAATATTCCAGAAAATCGATATTGCGTTGGCGCAAGTGGACCCCATGGAGATTACAATTTTTTAACTGGACTTTGTTTAAATGGATGCGCATTTGCAGGACAGCAACCTCCTTATTGCGATCGAGGCACACTTTATATTTCTGATTCTTTAAAAACTTTCTACAAAATTTATTTTCTACTTAGATTGCGACGATGGCAAATATGGTTTCAATTGCACACTAAACCAACCCACTAGAACATGTTTTGGCTCAGGACGTTACGGATCTTACAACAAAGAAACAGGGAACTGCATCAATGGTTGTGCCAAATCAGGTCTTCAGTCTCCAGGGTGCTCACAAGGTAGTTTTTTGCAGAATTATAACTAGCAATGACTTTATGTTTGAATTAGCATGCGAATATGGAAAATTTGGGATGAATTGCGGCTACAGCTTTACAAAACGTGTATGCGCCGGTGCAGATGGAAATTACGGTAACTATGACGTATCAAATGGAAAATGCTTGCAAGGGTGCGTGGAACCTGGAAAGGAGCCACCATTCTGTACAGAGGGTGGGTTTTTTGCATTTAAAAAAGAAACAAATAATTTGCATTTTCAATTAAGATTGCCAAAATGGAAAATATGGGTGGGATTGCTATTTTACTGCGTCTCAAGGAGTTTGCGCAGGACTGACTCCTTATGGCGAATATGACAAAGCCAGTGGTGTCTGCTACAATTGTATGGAGATGGGAAAAAAACCTCCAAACTGCAAAGACGGTCTGAATTTTAATTTCCTTAAAACATCAGTTTTATTGTTTCTTTGGCAGCTTAGATTGCGACGAAGGAAAATTTGGCCAAAACTGCCAGTACGACCTTCCTAAAAGCGAAAAAAGGTGCTCAGGTCATGGCACTTACGGTGATTACAATCGCAAGACGGGACATTGTAGAATAAGTTGTTTGAAACCAGGTTTTTACTTTCCGCCTTGCATTAAAGGTTCGAATATTCATGATTTTATAATTGTATAAGGTGTAATGTTGAAAATTATCTTTTCCAAAATTTTAGAATGTACTCGTGGCCATTTCGGATATAATTGTAAAGATAAATTGCCAACAACTAAAAAATGTTCCGGTGCAACACAGTTTGGAGATTATGACCCTGCAACAGGAAATTGTAAAAGTGACTGTGACCAACCTGGCGTAAAATTCCCTGAATGTGAAAAACGTTAGAACTTATAAAAAAAATTATCTTTTACCGCACTTAAAATTTCTTTTAAAAGCTTGTGATGATGGATGGTTCGGACGAAAATGTCATTCTACTCTAAGGAGTGGAACATGCGCTGGCCCGAAATGGGGAAATTACGACAAGAAAACAGGACATTGCAAGAATTGTGCAAGTCCTGGTTATAAAATGCCCTCTTGCACCGAGCGTAATTTTTAAGAATCAAAACCAATAGATTTCTTTCATTTTTGTAACGAAAAATTTTTAGCGTGCGATGATGGATTTTATGGACATATCTGCAATCAGAAGTTTGCAAGGGAAAGATGTGCTTACCGCCAGAATTACCAAAAACACCTTGCTGGGTATGGGGATTACGACAGAGCAACAGGAAATTGCACCAGTGGTTGTTCCGAACACGGCCTCAAATTTCCTGAATGTGTAAAAGGTGAGACAAAGGGGACATTAATTTTTATTTATGATCAGTTTATGATAAAAATTAAATTCATTTTTAGAGTGTGAAAACGGAAAGTATGGACTAAATTGTGCCTCTCAACTCGCACCTGGAATGTGCGCTGGACAGGAAATAGGAAATTACAATAAGACAAATGGGCACTGCAAGAGCTGCGCAAAAATGGGCTTTAAATTGCCCTTTTGTAATCAACGTATTACTACATTTTTTTTTAGAATGGCAGCCAAATATTCCAATTACATATTTTAGGTTGCGACTCTGGATTGTATGGGCTTAATTGCGACTACTCTGTAGGGGACAAGTGTTTAAATGGCAAATACGATACGATAACAGGGAACTGCACCGTTTCTTGTACGCATTCGGGGTTTCAATTTCCCTCGTGTGAAAAAGGTATGAAAAATAGTCACATTTAAGAAGTCTTAACAAGAAGTCTTTTTTAAGAATGTGAGGGAGGAAAATACGGAATAAACTGCAGGGAGCAACTAAGAGAGAAGAAGTGCTCAGGTGCAGGAAATTACGGCGATTACAACAAGGCAAACGGAGAATGTGTGCAATCGTGTGCAAGGCCAGGCCTCCAATTTCCACATTGCAAAAAGGGTTTGATATTTAATTTTTTAAATCCCATTTGACTGTTTTGTTTCATATCATTAGAGTGTGATGGAGGAAAATTTGGACTCAATTGCAACGAGATTATTAAGTCCGGGGCTTGCGCAGGAAAAACGGAATTTGGAGAATATGATAAAGTGAATGGAAGTTGCAGTTTGGGTTGTAAGGAGATTGGCATTCAACCGCCAAAGTGTATCACAGGTACATTCATTCATATAATAATAAAGCAATAGCAAATTAGTTCATTTTCTGTAATTTTCAAAAATTTAGAATGTGATAAAGGAAGCTTTGGAATGAACTGCAATGAAAAATTCGACCCTTCTGTTTGCGTGGATGAATCTTATAATCGCACCACAGGTTTATGCTTAAACGGGTGCTCTCGTGAGGATTTGATACCTCCGAGTTGCATAGAAGGTTATTCAATTTAATTTTATTTTATGTATTATTAATAGTTTTATAATCCTCAATACTATTATTTTATTTTATTCTAAAATTGTTTTCTAATGATTCTGCAGAGTGAAATTTATTCAATTTATTTTCAGAAGTAACAAATTATTTACTTGTTGGAGCAATCGTAGCTGTTTTTATTTTGCTGTTTCTAATATTGGCGTCTATTATGGTTTTCTGGAAACGAAGAGCTACCTGCTGGCTGATAAACATGAATCGTTTAATGGAATCAAAAGAAGGTACTTTAATTATCTATACAATGCGAGTCAATACTAAAGTAATAATTGTATTACCTGGAGGCAATTAAAGCATTGTATCTGTTAAAATTTTTTTTTATCAAAAAATAAATAATTGCGCTTTATTAATAGTATCGATCACTATCTCCGACTCTTTTACATGAGTTTTTTTTTTTTAAAACTACAGAACTAAACCATTTTTCAAAATCCGTTTTATCACCTTATTAACGTCTCTTTAAATTTCTCAGTTCATTAGAATGGGTTCTTTTTTTCAGAAGTTCTGGTGAATATTCCTTTAGGGCCCCTTTTACCTGATGCTTCATCAATTCCATCTGACCAGGGAGAAAATTCCAACGAAACCACCATCATCAACGTCGCTAGTTTTGACGAATATTTGGAAATGGCAATCAAATTTGACTTGTTTAAAAAACAGCACGTTGTAATTTAAAGATTGAACTCTAAAATTTTGCGATTTAATTTTACTTTGATTCTAGAAATTTCCTCGTGGACAAACAAAATCATGGGACGTAGGAAAATTAAGTGAAAATAAATCGAAAAATCGATATGGAAATCTGGCCGCCTACGATGAGACGAGAGTAAAGCTGAATTTTCAAACAGGATTGGGACAGAGTGATTACATCAACGCAAATTTTATTGACGTAAGACTGACACCAGTTTATCTACATTATTTTTATTCAGAAAGTATTTCTAAGTTTCAAAATTTTATTTGTATGTAAATATTATTGGGTAAAATTTATAAAAATGTTGTGAATTGGTCATTTACTATTTTAAAATTCTTCTGGCCAAAAATTTAATATTTTTGCTCATTCATTACTATTTAGCAATTTAGATTAGTGATTAAAAAAATCCTTTGTTAAGGAGGAAATTTATAAAAGTGATTAATAAAATTTTATGAAGAGAATTAGACAAAAACTTTAAAATTCTCGCACAGAAAAGTAAATTTTGAAGTAACATATTCCATATTTAAACGAAAGGGCTACAAAATGAAAAAAACATACATTGCCACTCAAGGACCGAAGTCGAACACCCTGGTCGATTTTTGGCGAATGATATGGCAGGAACAGGTTTCCTTGATCGTGATGGTCACAAACTTAATTGAGAATGGAAAAGTATGAATTGAGATCCAACAAAAACATTAAAACTAATTTTAAAAAATTTCAAATTTCAAGACAAAGTGCGAAAAGTACTGGCCTGAGGAAAGACAGTCTGTGTGCGTCAAGGGCCTTCAGGTTCAGAGCGTTAAGGAAGAAATTTACCCCGATTACACAAAACGCACCATGCGACTCATGAATGGAGACCAAAATCGTTTGGTTTGTGCTCTTATGAAAAAATTAAAATTTAAGGTGCCACGAATCAAAAATTGCAGGTTGTGCAAATGCACTACACACAATGGCCTGACCACGGAGTGCCTTTCTACGCAAAGTCTCTTGCTTGCTTCATGGAAAAAATTCTGGAAATCAAATCCGATAGTCCAGTTGTGGTTCATTGCAGGTCCATAATTTTCTATAATTTTTAATTGCAATATTATCCTAACCAAATTACAGTGCCGGAGTTGGTCGGACGGGAACCATAATTCTGATTGATGCTTGTCTTCGAATGGCGAAGGCAGAAGGTTTTTTTAACGCTTTTGATACGTTGGGCAAAATTCGCGCACAAAGGGCAAATTTGGTTGACAACGAGGTAATGAAAACAAGTAAATTATTAATAGCATTTTGAATAAAAATTAATTCAATAGATGCAATATCGCTTCGCTCACTTAGTTCTATATGAGGTCCTTTGCGTGCCAAATTATGATGTGCCTTGCGGCAGATTTACGGATGAGATAAAACATTTATTGGTGAGTGTCTGAATTAAGCGAAATTGAATGATTTGTTCAGTAAACAAAACTGACAGATTATATTTATGTAAATAATCAAATGAAGATTTATAATAATTGTATTGAAAGTTTATCATCTTTTATATTTAAATAGTTTCACATAAATAAGCAATTTATTTTTTAAATTGTGTTTTATGTATTTATTCTTTTTATTCAATTCAATTTATTACTTGCAAATCAGGCAAATGGCAAAAATTTACTGAATCAGCACTGGCTGGGAATTAATAGAATTTGCACAATGGATTGGCAACGTCTTCAGGCGCAAAGCGTAGTTTCGCCAGAGAGATTTGGACTCCACGACTATCCCGCTGGCAAGTCGAGTTTAAAAATCAACACAAACTTATTGGACCGAGTATTTATCTCATACTTTTTTGCAGCGTCTGACAAGTATTTGAAACTTTTCCCAAGTCAGCCTACGGAACGGAATCTTAGATTGATCAACGCGGTTTTTGTTGATGGTTTCAAAAAGAAAAACAAGTTCATCTGCATTCACACACCAACGCAAAGCACAATTGTGGATTTCTGGCAAATGATAGATCAGTATAAAGTTGAACACGTTATTGTACTAAATGAATTTCAACCGAACGAGGTGATATAATATTAAAATTCTTAAATTTGGTATTAAAGCGCAATAAAATTTAAGAATGATTTCCTACCTTTGGTCGAAGGACGTCGGCTCTGCGCGGGTGACATTCAAGTAATCCTGAAAAAAACATTTCAGTTGAAACGCTGCACAATCTTAGACATTGAAAACTCTAAGGTCAACTAAAAATTAAATGAAAATCGTCATTTTTACGTAATCATGTAAATTTTAGGGAAATTGCTTAAAAGCAGTTTGTTTTGCTGGTTGGCCTACACAAAACTCGATGGTTGCTGACGTCGAATCTTTGGTTGAGTTGTGGGAACAAACGGAAATTGCAAGCTTGGAGAAGTCTAGTGTTTTGGTTTGCAAGTGAGTGAATTTTTTTTCGTTTTCACGTCACGTTATGTAATTTTTTTATTCAACAATTTCAGTGATGGTGTTACGGCCTGTGGGTTTTTTGCAGCACTGGGCTTTGTGCTCGAGAAAATAAAACTTGAACAGAGGGTTGACGTGGTCATGGCTGTCCGTTGCATTCGGAATGTGCGACCCGGATTCATTACAGGAATCGTAATAATATGATTTAATATTATCTTCAAATTTATACAAGTGAAATTCATTTTCAGGTTCAATTCGAGATGTTGTACAAAGGAGCATTATCATATTTAGAAAAGTTTGAAACCTACGGCAATTTCAAATAATTTATGCATGAATAGTTTAAATTGCTCATTATATGTATTAAAAACATCTATTCTACTTCTCATAACTGAAGAATGAAAGAGAAGAAAACATAAAATATTTTCAACTGTCATAAATGCTGTTTAATAATGTTTGCAGAGCAATAACATTACACTTAATTTTCGAACGGAAATTGAATGTCTGATTTAAAAATATATGTATACGCCCATAATCAAACATATTTCTTTTTGTAATTATCTTGATGTTATTTTGTGGAATAATATTGTTATAAATACAAAACAGATAATGATGTAATAAAAAAAAACATTTTGTTAAAACATGGAAATTTTAGTCATATTTATAGAATGTAGGATTTTAGGTAATGGAAAATAAAAATATTTGTATGTTTACCAGACACTTCTTTGTATCTAAAGAAGTTATATTTCTTAATAAAATGACCAATGATAATTGTAAGATTGTGGCCTTATTTTTTACATTACTTTTCTTGTAAAGTAGAAAAATAATATTACTCATCCAAACATATGTTTGGATGACGTTAAAAAGTACATAAAATATAGGGAAATAAAAGTATCCAATTGTGATTTCTTACTCTCCAAAGTAAACTAGATAAAGGCGTTTTAATCAATATAATTTTTTCTTACTTCCTTGCTACAATTTCCTTGTTTCCCTCACTTGAATTTAATGACTGAGTTTGTTCACATCAGATGAAACAACCAAATGCTGCCAAGATGGATATATCAAAATTAGTATTCATTATCATTTGCCTGCCACCAGCATTTGCAATAGGTAATTTTCAAGTATTGACACTAAAATCTAATTCAATTATGTTTTGGAAATCAGATGATGAAAGAGTTTTATCAAAAAATCATCAAAATTCAGGCTGTCAGTACGGATTATTTGGTAAATACTGCACCAAGAATATTCCAGAAAATCGATATTGCGTTGGCGCAAGTGGACCCCATGGAGATTACAATTTTTTAACTGGACTTTGTTTAAATGGATGCGCATTTGCAGGACAGCAACCTCCTTATTGCGATCGAGGCACACTTTATATTTCTGATTCTTTAAAAACTTTCTACAAAATTTATTTTCTACTTAGATTGCGACGATGGCAAATATGGTTTCAATTGCACACTAAACCAACCCACTAGAACATGTTTTGGCTCAGGACGTTACGGATCTTACAACAAAGAAACAGGGAACTGCATCAATGGTTGTGCCAAATCAGGTCTTCAGTCTCCAGGGTGCTCACAAGGTAGTTTTTTGCAGAATTATAACTAGCAATGACTTTATGTTTGAATTAGCATGCGAATATGGAAAATTTGGGATGAATTGCGGCTACAGCTTTACAAAACGTGTATGCGCCGGTGCAGATGGAAATTACGGTAACTATGACGTATCAAATGGAAAATGCTTGCAAGGGTGCGTGGAACCTGGAAAGGAGCCACCATTCTGTACAGAGGGTGGGTTTTTTGCATTTAAAAAAGAAACAAATAATTTGCATTTTCAATTAAGATTGCCAAAATGGAAAATATGGGTGGGATTGCTATTTTACTGCGTCTCAAGGAGTTTGCGCAGGACTGACTCCTTATGGCGAATATGACAAAGCCAGTGGTGTCTGCTACAATTGTATGGAGATGGGAAAAAAACCTCCAAACTGCAAAGACGGTCTGAATTTTAATTTCCTTAAAACATCAGTTTTATTGTTTCTTTGGCAGCTTAGATTGCGACGAAGGAAAATTTGGCCAAAACTGCCAGTACGACCTTCCTAAAAGCGAAAAAAGGTGCTCAGGTCATGGCACTTACGGTGATTACAATCGCAAGACGGGACATTGTAGAATAAGTTGTTTGAAACCAGGTTTTTACTTTCCGCCTTGCATTAAAGGTTCGAATATTCATGATTTTATAATTGTATAAGGTGTAATGTTGAAAATTATCTTTTCCAAAATTTTAGAATGTACTCGTGGCCATTTCGGATATAATTGTAAAGATAAATTGCCAACAACTAAAAAATGTTCCGGTGCAACACAGTTTGGAGATTATGACCCTGCAACAGGAAATTGTAAAAGTGACTGTGACCAACCTGGCGTAAAATTCCCTGAATGTGAAAAACGTTAGAACTTATAAAAAAAATTATCTTTTACCGCACTTAAAATTTCTTTTAAAAGCTTGTGATGATGGATGGTTCGGACGAAAATGTCATTCTACTCTAAGGAGTGGAACATGCGCTGGCCCGAAATGGGGAAATTACGACAAGAAAACAGGACATTGCAAGAATTGTGCAAGTCCTGGTTATAAAATGCCCTCTTGCACCGAGCGTAATTTTTAAGAATCAAAACCAATAGATTTCTTTCATTTTTGTAACGAAAAATTTTTAGCGTGCGATGATGGATTTTATGGACATAACTGCAATCAGAAGTTTGCAAGGGAAAGATGTGCTTACCGCCAGAATTACCAAAAACACCTTGCTGGGTATGGGGATTACGACAGAGCAACAGGAAATTGCACCAGTGGTTGTTCCGAACACGGCCTCAAATTTCCTGAATGTGTAAAAGGTGAGACAAAGGGGACATTAATTTTTATTTATGATCAGTTTATGATAAAAATTAAATTCATTTTTAGAGTGTGAAAACGGAAAGTATGGACTAAATTGTGTCTCTCAACTCGCACCTGGAATGTGCGCTGGACAGGAAATAGGAAATTACAATAAGACAAATGGGCACTGCAAGAGCTGCGCAAAAATGGGCTTTAAATTGCCCTTTTGTAATCAACGTATTACTACATTTTTTTTTAGAATGGCAGCCAAATATTCCAATTACATATTTTAGGTTGCGACTCTGGATTGAATGGGCTTAATTGCGACTACTCTGTAGGGGACAAGTGTTTAAATGGCAAATACGATACGATAACAGGGAACTGCACCGTTTCTTGTACGCATTCGGGGTTTCAATTTCCCTCGTGCGAAAAAGGTATAGAACATAGTAATATTTAAGAAGCCTAATCAGAAATATTTTTAAGAATGTTATGGAGGAAAATACGGAATAAACTGCAGGGAGCAACTAAGAGAGAAGAAGTGCTCAGGTGCAGGAAATTACGGCGATTACAATAAGGCAAACGGAGAATGTGTGCAATCGTGTGCAAGGCCAGGCCTCCAATTTCCACATTGCAAAAAGGGTTTGATATTTAATTTTTTTAATCCCATATAATAAGGCCATAACATTACTGTTTTGTTTCATATCATTAGAGTGTGATGGAGGAAAATTTGGACTCAATTGCAACGAGATTATTAAGTCCGGGGCTTGCGCAGGAAAAATGGAATTTGGAGAATATGATAAAGTGAATGGAAGTTGCAGTTTGGGTTGTAAGGAGATTGGCATTCAACCGCCAAAGTGTATCATGGGTATATTCATTCACATAATTATAAAGCAATAACCAATTAGTTCATTGTCTGTAATTTTCAAAAATTTAGAATGTGATGAAGGAAGCTTTGGAATGAACTGCAATGAAAAATTCGACCCGTCTGTTTGCGTGGATGAATCTTATAATCGCACCACAGGCTTTTGCTTAAAAGGGTGCTCTCGTGAGGATTTGATACCTCCAAGTTGCATGGAAGGTTTGTTAATTGTTTAATATTTACTTATGAAAATTTTAAATAATTTACAAGATGATGACACATGTATTTCTTTAGAATTACGCTTTTTTGTTTAAAGAATTTATTTCATTTTTGAAATCAATCTATGAATATGAAAACAAAAATTGAATTCTTCATAGTATTTTTCATTTAACATATTGCTGTACAAGTTAATTGGTCACCATTGCTCTGCGACTTTACTTGACTATACACTTTTAAAATATATTCTATTATTCAGAGGGAAAAAATTCAACACTGATTGGAATAATCATTACTGTCCTCGTAGTCTTGATTTTGGTAATGGTTGCAACATTTATTGCTATTCATAAATGGAAATTAAAATGCTGGTCCATAAATACAATCGAGACTTCACCGAACGATAAAGAAGCAGAGTGTAAATTAATAGATTTCGATATGTAAATAATTCATCATATATTTTTACTTTTGCAGACGAAATGTTCGATCTTGTTATGGGGCCTTCAGCTCCACTGGTTCCATCTCGGCAGGACGATTTTTCCACCCTTGTTAACATTTCAAACTTTGACGAGTATTTGGAAAAGGTTTTTGAATTTGACCTTATTAAAAAACAGCATAGAGTACTGGTGGAAAAATTTAAGCAATATGAGAATTAAAAAATTTCTACTTCTTAGATGATTGCACGAGAAAAATCCAAACCTTGCAACGCTGGAAAATCACGTGAAAATAAATTAAAAAATCGATTTGGAAATTTGGCCGCCTTTGATGAGACAAGAGTGAAACTTTATTTCCAAGCAGGGATTGACCAAAATGACTACATCAATGCTAATTTTATTGAGGTGAGAATTTTTTGCATACACACAAAACAATGATAGGTAACGCCGTCAACTGGCCCAGAAGAATAGCAGAGGCAAAATTTAAATTTCATTTGTTTGTGCTTCCATACTTTTATTTTTCTTCTATTCAAAGTTCTTAAATATGCCAGAAATATTAAATCTAAGAAAATTAATTTTATATTTTAACATGGGATCAATTTGACAAGCGAACAGGAATTTTATGAATGTAATATACCATTTTTATATTAATATTTCTTTTCAAATTTACTAAAATAAAGGGTTACAAGAAGGCCAAAGCATACATCGCCACGCAAGGTCCAAAGGAAAACACGCTGATCGATTTCTGGCGAATGGTATGGCAAGAAAAAGTGTCCTTGATCGTGATGCTCACTGACTTAATTGAGAATGGACAAGTATGAATTGAGATCCATCAAAACATAAAAAACAAATTTAAAAAATTATAAAATTCAAGACAAAGTGCGAAAAGTACTGGCCTGAAGAGCAACAATCTTTCCACGCCGAGGGTCTCCAGGTTCTACACGTGAAAGAGGAAAATTTCCCCGATTACATAATGCGTACTTTGCGACTCAAGAACGGAGATCAAAATCGAGCAGTAAAATTTAAATAAAAAATAGTATTCCCTCTGATAATCAAACCAAAAAATTTCAGGTCGTGCAAATGCACTACACGCAATGGCCTGACCACGGAGTGCCAATGTATGCTCAGTCTCTTGCTAGTTTCTCCGAAAGAATCTCAGATATAAATTCAGATGCACCGATTTTAGTTCACTGCAGGTTAAAAAACAACGAGTTGCTAAGTTTAAAAACAATTAAATTTTTCAATCTTGCAGTGCTGGTGTTGGCCAGACCGGGACTTTTATTCTAATTGACATTTGTTTGAAAATGGCGAGAGTGGAAGGTTCCTTTGATGCATTTGAGACTCTGAGCAAAATTCGTTCCCAGAGGGCAATCATGGTCGACAAAGAGGCAAATTCATATTCTTAAATTAAAAACATAACTTTGAATCATCTTTTAACAGGTCCAATTTCGGTTTGCCTACTTGGTCCTATATGAAATCCTAAGTGTGCCAAAATATGATGTGTCATGCAAGGAATTTGCAAAAGAGATGAAAAATTTAATGGTACATAAAAAAAACTAATATATCAAAGATATACCGATATTGTACTTTGATTTGAAAATCTTTAATTCAATGAAACAAAAGTTTATTAGTTTATTCAATCATATAAAGAAAATTCTAGAGACAGTTTATTTTACAGTTTAAAATGACATAAAAATTCTCAGTAATTGACGCTGATCAATTGTATGAATTTTTTTTATAATTTCATATAGTTGAACAATAAGAGTTTGCTCAATTTACGTTGGTTGGAGCTCAACAAACTTTGCGAAAGTGAGTGGAAGCGAATTCAAGCAGGAGATTCAGCACGAGCTGAGGGTTGCAGATTTCAACTAAGCATCGATGGCAAGTTAATTCACAAATGAATGTATTAAATTATTAGATCATTTTCACTCTTGTTCGCAGCATCGGATTTATATGCAAAAATTGGTCCAACTTATCCTTTGGCTGAATATTCAAGTTTCATCAATGCCGTATTGGTTGACGGTTTCAAAAAGAAGGACAAGTTTATTTGCACAAAAACGCCTTTAGAAAATACGATTGCGGATTTTTGGCGAATGGTAGATCAGTATAAAGTGGAACACGTGATCATATTGAATGATTTGGACCAAAAAGAGGTGAGTTACGTTATTTGAATTTAATTCAGAAAATTAACTTTTTATTCATGTATTGTAGAAATCTTTCCTACCTTTGGTCGAAGGCCAGAAACTCGTTGTGGGCGACATGTTTTTGACCCTGATAAAAACTTATCAGTTGAAAAGCTGCTCAATCTTGGACATCGAGCACTCAAGGGTTCATAATATAGATTTTCAAAATTCAATCTACTTGAATTGCATATAAAAATAGGGATTCGTGAAAGTGGTTTGCTTCTCTGGCTGGCCGTCGGAAAAATCAACAGTTCCAGAAATCGAGTCGTTGGTGGAATTGTGGGATCAAACAGAAATCGCAAGTTTGGAAAAGACGAGTGTTTTTGTTTGCAAGTGAGTTTTTTTCCTTTTCTTTGGAAAAACGATTTGATCAAAAATACGCTAAATTTCAGCGACGGAATTACGGCTTGTGGATTTTTCGCGGCGCTGGGTTTTGTAATACAGAAAATCAAACTGGAGCAAAAAGTTGACGTGGCCATGGCCGTCAGGTGCACTCGAAGTGCCAGACCTCAATTCGTAGCAGGAATTGTAAAACTGAATTTACAATTTAAACTTTCGTTTTTTAAATTTTTTCAATTCTTTCAGGACCAATTTGAGGCGCTCTACAAAGGTGCCTTCAAATATTTAGAAAATTTTAACACTTACGGAAATTTCAAGTAATTTTTACTTAGTTAATAGTCCAAATATTTTGAAATATTCTATAGCTTAGAGACGCAGAGAGCATGAGGAGACTTTTTTTAAAATTTTAATAGACAACAAGGTCAATCTAAAAGCATGACCTGGCCCAGGCTATAATCTAACTAAATTAATTCAGTGCAATTTTAATTCTGCGATAATAGTTAGCCACAGACAATTTACGTTTTTGTAAATATTTTTTAAATAGGTGCATACATTTTATGTATTGGTACGCTTTTTTAAGCTTTGTAAATTTGAATTGTAAAATAATTAATTTACAATAATATTAAGGCCCATTCGGCGGGAAATAATATTTTCAGAGATTCAAAAGCCAAAGCCCAGGTTAATTTAGTTTGGATTTCATGGATTTTTTTTTGTAAATTTAGCTTCAATTAAATATCTGACGCATGACAAAAACAATTAAGGAGAACATTTATAGTAATTTTCAATGTGAAAATTTTGAATCTTTCCTAGAGATACTCGAGACACATTATCATTATATACAAATATTTTTCTTTCTTTTATAATTCAAATTATAGGATTCATAGGATTATAACTATAGGCTTAGTGTGCTATTTTTTTTTTATTATAAGTACATTATTATTTGAAGATCAAGTGGTCATATTACTATTGTAAATTTTGTATAAACCAAGCTATGTGGATTTGGTGTTTAAAATAAATAATTTCTATTAAGTGTGTTGCTTTCAAAAAATTATAAAATAGAATTTTTTATTATTTTACCTTTCAAAAACCCATAAGACTACTCTGTAGGGGACAGGTGTTTAAATGGCAAATACGATACGATAACAGGGAACTGCATCGATTCTTGTACGCATTCGGGGTTTCAATTTCCCTCGTGTGAAAAAGGTACGGAAAATAGTCACATTTAAGATATTCAAATAAGAAATATTTTTTGAATGTGAGGGAGGAAAATACGGAATAAACTGCAGGGAGCAACTAAGAGACAAGAAGTGCTCAGGTGCAGGAAATTACGGCGATTACAATAAGACTAATGGAGGATGTGTTCAATCGTTTCTCCATGCCAGGCCTCCAATTTCCACATTGCGAAAAGGGTTTGATTTTTAATTTAAATCCCATATAATTAGACCATAACTTTACTGTTTTGTTTTTTTATCATTAGAGTGTGATGGAGGAAAATTTGGACTAAATTGCAAAGAGATTATTAAGTCCGGGGCTTGCGAAGGAAAAACGGAATTTGGAGAATATGATAAAGTGAATGGAAGTTGCAGTTTGGGTTGTAAGGAGATTGGCATTCAACCGCCAAAGTGTATCACAGGTACATTCATTCATATAATAATAAAGCAATAACCAATTAGTTCATTTTCTATAATTTTCAAAAATTTAGAATGTGATGAAGGAAGATTTGGAATTAACTGCAATGAAAAATTCGACCCTTCTGTTTGCGTGGATGAATCTTATAATCGCACCACAGGTTTTTGCTTAAACGGGTGCTCTCGTGAGGATTTGATACCTCCGAGTTGCATGGAAGGTTATTCAATTTAATTTTATTTATGTATTATTAAAATCCTCAATACTATTATTTTATTTTATTCTAAAATTGTTTTCTAATGATTCTGCAGAGTGAAATTTATATAATTTATTTTCAGAAGAAACAAATTATCTATTATGGTTATCTGGAAACGAAGAGTTACCTGCTGGCTAATAAACATGAATCGTTTAATGGAATCAAAAGAAGGTACTAGAATTTTCTATAATGCGAGTCAATACTAAAGCATACTAAAGTAATAATTGTAATACCTGGAGAAAATTAAAGAATTTTGCCAGTTTCAAATAATTTTTATTAAAAAATAAATAATGGCGCTTTATTAGTATCGATCACTATCTCCAACTCTTTTATAAGAGATTTTTTTTTTTAAATTTTTTTTAAATCTACGGAACTAAACCATTTTTCAACGCGTGCAAAATCCGTTTTATCACCTTATTATCGTCTCTTTATATTTCTCACTTCATTAGAAAGAGTTATTATTTTTTCAGAAGTTCTGGTGAATATTCCTTTAGGGCCCCTTTTGCCTGTTGCTTAATCAATTCCATCTGGCCAGGGAGTAAATTCCAACGAATCCACCATCATCAACGTCGCTAGTTTTGACGAATATTTGGAAATGGCAATCAAATTTGACTTGTTTAAAAAACAGCACGATGTAATTTAAAGATTGAACTCTGAAATTTTGCGATTGAATTTTACGTTGATTCTAGAAATTTCCTCGTGGACAAACAAAATCATGGGACGTAGGAAAATTAAGTGAAAATAAATCAAAAAACCGATATGGAAATCTGGCCGCCTACGATGAGACGAGAGTAAAGCTGAATTTTCAAACAGGATTGGGACAGAGTGATAACATCAACGCAAATTTTATTGACGTAAGACTGACACCAGTTTATACATTATATTTATTCAGAATTCAGAAAGTATTTCTAAGATTCAAAATTTTATTCGTATGAAAATATTATTGGGTAAAATTTATAAAAATGTGGTGTATTGGTCATTTATTTTTTTAAAATTTTTCTGGCCAAAAAAATTTAATATTTTTGCTAATTCGTTACTATTAAGCAATTTAGATTAGTGATTAAAAGATCCTTTGTAAAGGAGGAAATTTATAAAAGTAATAAATGCAATTTTATGAAGAGAATTAGACAAAAACTTTAAAATTCTCACACAAAACAGTAAATTTTGAAGTAATATAATTCCATATTCAAACGAAAGGGCTACAAAATGAAAAAAACATACATTGCCACGCAAGGACCGAAGTCGAACACCCTGGTCGATTTTTGGCGAATGATATGGCAGGAACAGGTTTCCTTGATCGTGATGGTCACAAACTTAATTGAGAATGGAAAAGTATGAATTGAGATCCATCAAAACATTAAAACTAATTGTAAAAAATTTCACAATTCAAGACAAAGTGCGAAAAGTACTGGCCTGAGGAAAGACAGTCTGTGTGCGTCAAGGGCCTTCAGGTTCAGAGCGTTAAGGAAGAAATTTACCCCGATTACACAAAACGCACCATGCGACTCATGAATGGAGACCAAAATCGTTTGGTTTGTGCTCTTATGAAAAAATTAAAATTTAAGGTGCCACGAATAAAAAATTGCAGGTTGTGCAAATGCACTACACACAATGGCCTGACCACGGAGTGCCTTTCTACGCAAAGTCTCTTGCTTGCTTCATGGAAAAAATTCTGGAAATCAAATCCGATAGTCCAGTTGTGGTTCATTGCAGGTCCATAATTTTCTATAATTTTTAATTGCAATATTATCCTAACCAAATTACAGTGCCGGAGTTGGTCGGACGGGAACCATAATTCTGATTGATGCTTGTCTTCGAATGGCGAAGGCAGAAGGTTTTTTTAACGCTTTTGATACGTTGGGCAAAATTCGCGCACAAAGGGCAAATTTGGTTGACAACGAGGTAATGAAAACAAGTAAATTATTAATAGCATTTTGAATAAAAATTAATTCAATAGATGCAATATCGCTTCGCTCACTTAGTTCTATATGAGGTCCTTTGCGTGCCAAATTATGATGTGCCTTGCGGCAGATTTACGGATGAGATAAAACATTTATTGGTGAGTGTCTGAATTAAGCGAAATTGAATGATTTGTTCAGTAAACAAAACTGACAGATTATATTTATGTAAATAATCAAATGAAGATTTATAATAATTGTATTGAAAGTTTATCATCTTTTATATTTAAATAGTTTCACATAAATAAGCAATTTATTTTTTAAATTGTGTTTTATGTATTTATTCTTTTTATTCAATTCAATTTATTGCTTGCAAATCAGGCAAATGGCAAGAATTTACTGAATCAGCACTGGCTGGGAATCAATAGAATTTGCACAATGGATTGGCAACGTCTTCAGGCGCAAAGCGTAGTTTTGCCAGAGAGATTTGGACTCCACGACTATCCTGCTGGCAAGTCGAGTTTAAAAATCAACTCACAAAATAATTGGACCGAGTATTTATTTCATACTTATTTTGCAGCGTCTGACAAGTGTTTGAAACTTTTCCCAAGTCAGCCTACGGAACGGAATCTTAGATTGATCAACGCGGTTTTTGTTGATGGTTTCAAAAAGAAAAACAAGTTCATCTGCATTCACACACCAACGCAAAGCACAATTGTGGATTTCTGGCAAATGATAGATCAGTATAAAGTTGAACACGTTATTGTACTAAATGAATTTCAACCGAACGAGGTGATTATAATATTAAAATTTTAAATGTGGTGTTAAATAAAATTTAAAACGATTTCCTACCTTTGGTCGGACGTCAGCTCTGCGCGGGTGACATTCAAGTAATCCTGAAAAAAACATTTCAGTTGAAACGCTGCACAATCTTGGACATTGAAAACTCTAGGGTCGACTAAAAATTAAATGAAAATAGTCATTTTTACGTAACCATGTAAATTTTAGGGAAATTGCTTAAAAGCAGTTTGTTTTGCTGGTTGGCCGGCACAAAACTCGATGGTTGCTGACGTCAAATCTTTGGTTGAGTTGTGGGAACAAACGGAAATCGCAAGCTTGGAGAAGTCTAGTGTTTTGGTTTGCAAGTGAGTGAATTTTTTTTTTCGTTTTCACGTCACGATATGAAATTTTTTTATTTCACTATTTCAGTGATGGTGTTACGGCCTGTGGGTTTTTTGCAGCACTGGGCTTTGTGCTTGAGAAAATAAAACTTGAACAGAGGTTTGACGTGGTCATGGCTGTCCGTTGCATTCGGAATGTGCGACCCGGATTCATTACAGGAATCGTAATAATATGATTTAATATTATCTTCAAATTTATACAAGTGAAATTCATTTTCAGGATCAATTCGAGATGTTGTACAAATTTGCATATTTAGAAAAGTTTGACACCTACGGTAATTTCAAATAATTAATGTATGAATAGTTTAAATTGCTCATTATATGTATTGTATTATAAACATCTATTCTACTTTTCATAACTGAAGAATGAAAGAAAATAAAAAATATAATATTTTCAAATGTCATAAATTCTGTTTAAAAACATTTGCAGAGCAAAAACATTACACTTGTAATATTCGAACGGAAATTGAATGTCTGATTTAAAAATATATGTATACGCCCATAATCAAACCTATTTCTTTTTGTAATTATCTTGATGTTATTTTGTGGAATTATATTGTAAAAAATACAAAACAGATAATGATGTATTAAAAAAAAACATTTTGTTAAAACATGGAAATTTTAGTCATATTTATAGAATGTAGGATTTTAGGTAGAGGAAAATAAAAATATTTGAATGTTTACCGACACTTCTTTGTATCTAAAGAAGTTATATTTCTTAATAAAATGACCAATGATAATTGTAAGATTGTGGCCTTATTTTTTACATTACTTTTCTTGTAAAGTAGAAAAATAATATTACTCATCCAAACATATGTTTGGATGACGTTAAAAAATACATAAAATATAGGGAAATAAAAGTATCCAATTGTGATTTCTTACTCTCCAAAGTAAACTAGATAAAGGCGTTTTAATCAATATAATTTTTTCTTACTTCCTTGCTACAATTTCCTTGTTTCCCTCACTTGAATTTAATGACTGAGTTTGTTCACATCAGATGAAACAACCAAATGCTGCCAAGATGGATATATCAAAATTAGTATTCATTATCATTTGTCTGCCATCAGCATTTGCAATAGGTAATTTTCAAGTATTGACACTAAAATCTAATTCAATTATGTTTTGGAAATCAGATGATGAAAGAGTTTTATCAAAAAATAATCAAAATTCAGGCTGTCAGTACGGATTATTTGGTAAATACTGCACCAAGAATATTCCAGAAAATCGATATTGCGTTGGCGCAAGTGGACCCCATGGAGATTACAATTTTTTAACTGGACTTTGTTTAAATGGATGCGCATTTGCAGGACAGCAACCTCCTTATTGCGATCGAGGCACACTTTATATTTCTGATTCTTTAAAAACTTTCTACAAAATTTATTTTCTACTTAGATTGCGACGATGGCAAATATGGTTTCAATTGCACACTAAACCAACCCACTAGAACATGTTTTGGCTCAGGACGTTACGGATCTTACAACAAAGAAACAGGGAACTGCATCAATGGTTGTGCCAAATCAGGTCTTCAGTCTCCAGGGTGCTCACAAGGTAGTTTTTTGCAGAATTATAACTAGCAATGACTTTATGTTTGAATTAGCATGCGAATATGGAAAATTTGGGATGAATTGCGGCTACAGCTTTACAAAACGTGTATGCGCCGGTGCAGATGGAAATTACGGTAACTATGACGTATCAAATGGAAAATGCTTGCAAGGGTGCGTGGAACGCGACCTCAAATTTCCTGAATGTGTACAAGGTCAGATGGAGGGGAAATTAATTTTTATTTATGCTCAGTTTATGATGATAATTAAATTCATTCTTAGAGTGTGAAAACGGAAAGTATGGACTAAATTGTGCCTCTCAACTCGCACCTGGAATGTGCGCTGGACAGGAAATAGGAAATTACAATAAGACAAATGGGCACTGCAAGAGCTGCGCAAAAATTGGCTTTAAATTGCCCTTTTGTAATCAACGTATCACTTCATTTTTTTTAGAATGAAAGCCAAATATTCCAATTACATATTTTAGGTTGCGACTCTGGATTGTATGGGCTTAATTGCGACTACTCTGTAGGGGACAAGTGTTTAAATGGCAAATACGATACGATAACAGGGAACTGCACCGTTTCTTGTACGCATTCGGGGTTTCAATTTCCCTCGTGTGAAAAAGGTATGAAAAATAGTCACATTTAAGAAGTCTTAACAAGAAGTCTTTTTTAAGAATGTGAGGGAGGAAAATACGGAATAAACTGCAGGGAGCAACTAAGAGAGAAGAAGTGCTCAGGTGCAGGAAATTACGGCGATTACAACAAGGCAAACGGAGAATGTGTGCAATCGTGTGCAAGGCCAGGCCTCCAATTTCCACATTGCAAAAAGGGTTTGATATTTAATTTTTTAAATCCCATTTGACTGTTTTGTTTCATATCATTAGAGTGTGATGGAAGAAAATTTGGACTCAATTGCAACGAGATTATTAAGTCCGGGGCTTGCGCAGGAAAAACGGAATTTGGAGAATATGATAAAGTGAATGGAAGTTGCAGTTTGGGTTGTAAGGAGATTGGCATTCAACCGCCAAAGTGTATCATGGGTATATTCATTCACATAATTATAAAGCAATAACCAATTAGTTCATTGTCTGTAATTTTCAAAAATTTAGAATGTGATGAAGGAAGCTTTGGAATGAACTGCAATGAAAAATTCGACCCGTCTGTTTGCGTGGATGAATCTTATAATCGCACCACAGGCTTTTGCTTAAAAGGGTGCTCTCGTGAGGATTTGATACCTCCAAGTTGCATGGAAGGTTTGTTAATTGTTTAATATTTACTTATGAAAATTTTAAATAATTTACAAGATGATGACACATGTATTTCTTTAGAATTACGCTTTTTTGTTTAAAGAATTTATTTCATTTTTGAAATCAATCTATGAATATGAAAACAAAAATTGAATTCTTCATAGTATTTTTCATTTAACATATTGCTGTACAAGTTAATTGGTCACCATTGCTCTGCGACTTTACTTGACTATACACTTTTAAAATATATTCTATTATTCAGAGGGAAAAAATTCAACACTGATTGGAATAATCATTACTGTCCTCGTAGTCTTGATTTTGGTAATGGTTGCAACATTTATTGCTATTCATAAATGGAAATTAAAATGCTGGTCCATAAATACAATCGAGACTTCACCGAACGATAAAGAAGCAGAGTGTAAATTAATAGATTTCGATATGTAAATAATTCATCATATATTTTTACTTTTGCAGACGAAATGTTCGATCTTGTTATGGGGCCTTCAGCTCCACTGGTTCCATCTCGGCAGGACGATTTTTCCACCCTTGTTAACATTTCAAACTTTGACGAGTATTTGGAAAAGGTTTTTGAATTTGACCTTATTAAAAAACAGCATAGAGTACTGGCGGAAAAATTTAAGCAATATGAGAATTAAAAAATTTCTACTTCTTAGATGATTGCACGAGAAAAATCCAAACCTTGCAACGCTGGAAAATCACGTGAAAATAAATTAAAAAATCGATTTGGAAATTTGGCCGCCTTTGATGAGACAAGAGTGAAACTTTATTTCCAAGCAGGGATTGACCAAAATGACTACATCAATGCTAATTTTATTGAGGTGAGAATTTTTTGCATACACACAAAACAATGATAGGTAACGCCGTCAACTGGCCCAGAAGAATAGCAGAGGCAAAATTTAAATTTCATTTGTTTGTGCTTCCATAATTTTATTTTTCTTCTATTCAAAGTTCTTAAATATGCCAGAAATATTAAATCTAAGAAAATTAATTTTATATTTTAACATGGGATCAATTTGACAAGCGAACAGGAATTTTATGAATGTAATATACCATTTTTATATTAATATTTCTTTTCAAATTTACTAAAATAAAGGGTTACAAGAAGGCCAAAGCATACATCGCCACGCAAGGTCCAAAGGAAAACACGCTGATCGATTTCTGGCGAATGGTATGGCAAGAAAAAGTGTCCTTGATCGTGATCCTCACTGACTTAATTGAGAGTGGACAAGTATGAATTGAGATTCATCAAAACATAAAAAACAAATTAAAAAAAATTATAAAATTCAAGAAAAAGTGCGAAAAGTACTGGCCTGAAGAGCAACAATCTTTCCACGCCGAGGGTCTCCAGGTTCTACACGTGAAAGAGGAAAATTTCCCCGATTACATAATGCGTACTTTGCGACTCAAGAACGGAGATCAAAATCGAGCAGTAAAATTTAAATAAAAAATAGTATTCCCTCTGATAATCAAACCAAAAAATTTCAGGTCGTGCAAATGCACTACACGCAATGGCCTGACCACGGAGTGCCAATGTATGCTCAGTCTCTTGCTAGTTTCTCCGAAAGAATCTCAGATATAAATTCAGATGCACCGATTTTAGTTCACTGCAGGTTAAAAAACAACGAGTTGCTAAGTTTAAAAACAATTAAATTTTTCAATCTTGCAGTGCTGGTGTTGGCCAGACCGGGACTTTTATTCTAATTGACATTTGTTTGAAAATGGCGAGAGTGGAAGGTTCCTTTGATGCATTTGAGACTCTGAGCAAAATTCGTTCCCAGAGGGCAATCATGGTCGACAAAGAGGCAATTACATATTCTTAAATTAAAAAATAACTTTGTATCATCTTTTAACAGGTCCAATTTCGGTTTGCCTACTTGGTCCTATATGAAATCCTAAGTGTGCCAAAATATGATGTGTCATGCAAGGAATTTGCAAAAGAGATGAAAAATTTAATGGTACATAAAAAAAACTAATATATATCAAAGATATATTGATATTGTATTTGATTTGAAATTTGTAATTCAATGAAACAAAAATTTATTAGTTTATTCAATCATATAAAGAAAATCCTAGCGACAGATTTTTTACAGTTTAAAATAAGATAAAAATTCTCATTAATTGACGCTGATCAATTGTATGATTTTTTTATAATTTCATATAGTTGAACAATAAGAGTTTGCTCAATTTTCGTTGGTTGGAGCTCAACAAACTTTGCGAGAGTGAGTGGAAGCGAATTCAAGCAGGAGATTCAGCACGAGCTGAGGGTTGCAGATTTCAACTAAGCATCGATGGCAAGTTAATTCACAAATGAATGTATTAAATTATTAGATCATTTTCACTCTTGTTCGCAGCATCGGATTTGTATGCGAAAATTGGTCCAACTTATCCTTTGGCTGAATATTCAAGTTTCATCAATGCCGTATTGGTTGATGGTTTCAAAAAGAAGGACAAGTTTATTTGCACAAAAACGCCTTTAGAAAATACAATTGGGGATTTTTGGCGAATGGTAGATCAGTATAAAGTGGAACACGTGATCATATTGAATGATTTGGACCAAAAAGAGGTGAGTTATATTATTTTAATTAAATATGAAAAATTGACTTTCTATTTATGTATTGTAGAAATCTTTCCTACCTTTGGTTGAAGGCCAGAAACTCGTTGTTGGCGACATGTTTTTGACCCTGATAAAAACTTATCAGTTTAAAAGCTGCTCAATCTTGGACATCGAGCACTCAAGGGTTCATAATATTTATTTTCAAAATTCAATCTAATCTGAATTGCATAATATAAAAATAGGGATTCGTGAAAGTGGTTTGCTTCTCTGGCTGGCCGTCGGAAAAATCAACAGTTCCAGAAATCGAGTCGTTGGTGGAATTGTGGGATCAAACAGAAATCGCAAGTTTGGAGAAGACGAGTGTTTTGGTTTGCAAGTAAGTTTTTTTTCTTTTCTTTGGAAATACGATTTGATCAAAAATATGCTTAATTTCAGCGACGGAATTACGGCTTGTGGATTTTTCGCGGCGCTGGGTTTTGTAATTCAGAAAATCAAACTGGAGCAAAAAGTTGACGTGGCCATGGCCGTCAGGTGCACTCGAAGTGCCAGACCTCAATTCGTAGCAGGAATTGTAAAACTGAATTACAATTTTGACTTTCATTTTTAACTTCTTTAAATTCTCTCAGGACCAATTCGAGACGCTCTACAAAGGTGCCTTCAAATATTTAGAAAAGTTTAACACTTACGGAAATTTCAAGTAATTTTTATTTAAATTGAATGGTAACACTCGAGGTGGATTTCATGACAAATTGAAACCGGGCGAACCTCGTTGCAAAGAAAAAAATGAAAAAATATAAAGGACAACTGACCCCAAAGGCGACCTGCGGTCTGCTGGTACTTTAAAACCTAGGGTTTCTTGTGTCCGACTAAACCTAAGTGGGAGGAATTAATAAAAAAATTAAAAATAAAATGGGAGGATTTAATTTTAATAAACAAAAATTGCAGAAATTAATTAAGCAAAAGAGTCAGTCAACAGATTCATACTGTGATTTTGGCAGAAATTTCCAGGGCAATGAACCCAAAGACTTTTCTGGCAAAATCACAGTAATCTGCCGCACTACTGTGATTTTGCCAGAAAAGTCTTTGGGTTCATTGCCCTGGAAATTTCTGCCAAAATCACAGTATGAAGCTGTTGACTGACTCTTTTGCTTAATTAATTTCTGCAATTTTTGTTTATTAAAATTAAATCCTCCCATTTTATTTTTAATTTTTTTATTTATTCCTCCCACTTAGGTTTAGTCGGACACAAGAAACCCTAGGTTTTAAAGTACCAGCAGACCGCAGGTCGCCTTTGGGGTCAGTTGTCCTTTATATTTTTTCATTTTTTCTTTGCAACGAGGTTCGCCCGGTTTCAATTTTTAAATTTTTATTTAGTTAATAGTCCACATATTTTGAAATATTCTATAGTTTAGAGACGCAGAGATCGAGCATGAGGAGACTTTTTTTTAAAATTTTAATAGACAACAAGGTCAATCTAAAAGCATGACCTGACCCAGGCTATAATCTAACTAAATTAATTCAGTGCAATTTGAATTCTGGGATAATAGCTAGACACAGACAGTTCACGCTATTGTAAATTTTTTTTTAAATAGGTGCATAAATTTTATGAATTGGTGCTCTTTTTAATGCTTTTTAAATTTGAATTGTAAAATAATTAAAATACAATAATCTTAAGACCGATTCAGCGGAAAATAACATTTTCAGAGATTGAAAAGCCAAAGCCCAGGTTAATTTAGTTTGGATTTCATGGAGTTTTTTTTTTTTTTTTAAATTTACCTTCAATTAAATATATTATGCATGACAAAAACAATTAAGGAGAACATTTATAGTAATTTTCAATGTGAAAATTTTAAGTCTTTCCTAAAGATACTCGAGACACATTATATACAAATATTTTCCTTTCTTTTATAATTCAAATTATAGGATTCATAGGATTATAACTATAGGCTTATTGTTAGTGTGCTATTTTTTTTTAATTATACATTATTATTTGAAGATCAAGTGATCATAATATTATAGTAAATTTTGTGAAAACCAAGCTATGTGGATTTGGTATTTAAAATAAATAATTTCTATTAAGTGTGTTGCTTTCAAAAAATTATAAAATAGAATTTTTTTATTATTGTACCTTTCAAAAACCCATAATTTTGCGAGCAGTCACTCAATCTGGAGCAAGCGCTTTTCCATTAGCTTTGCGGCGTGTAATAGTTTGATTTCGAGTGCAAAAGGGCTCGCGAGCGAGGCATCAGTCACTTTGCGGCGGGTGATGTGTGGCGGGGTGTCAGGGGCGGTGGGCTGCAAGATGGATGTTGGCCGCATCAGTCAATGTCTGCTGCAAGATGACAGAGTGCCCAACTGCAGGCCGGGGAGGAGAGGCCCTTTAATTGTTTGCCCTTTTTATTTGGCGCTGCCCTTGGCTCGAGTCATCACTCTTGGCCGCGTCAAATAAATGAGCCGCCCGAATGACAGCGCGCAGCCCACTCGCTCCCTTTTTCTCGCGCACACTTGTGACATGAATTGGCAGGATGTTTGTTTTCCTCGCGCTGGAATTTCTTTGAAATTCGCGGCGCAAACGGGTTGATTTTGATTGATTGATGCTTTGTTGGCTCATCGCTTTTTCCTCGCGGCAGCACCCACACTGCGAGCTCGCCATTGATGGATGCAAAAGAAGCTTGACACGCCTGATCGCATTTTCCGATGCGAACACCCAGTCGCTCACTTTTCTTATCCCGAATCTAAAGTGCGTGTAACTTTGTTAGATCCTCAATTAATGGAAAAAAGGGGCAACCCTTTTTGAGGCTGTGTAAAGCATTCGACCTTTTTTCAAGGAAATATTTTTTGGAAAATTTAATTAACTTGCAGGTTCAAATGTTTTCCACTTTAATTTTACAGGCATTCTAATAAACATTCTTTCAAAGCTAAATAGCACTACTAAGCGCTTCTTCATATTTAATTATTTGAAATTTTTATAATTTATTAATTACTTTTTATAAATTATTTGTGGCGCAAAAAGTGCACTATGTTCATATTAATTTTATTCACTTCAAGTTAAAAATTTAATATTATTTAAACATTAACATATTAATTTGAATTAATCTTTTTTTCCTTAACTAGTCAGAAAATTTGATTAATTAATTTTTAATACCCTCTTTTAGTATGAAAATGTTTTTCGTTGTCATTCAGACAAGCTTAAAAACTCTGCATTAATTTTAGTAAATTATAACAATTATGTAATCTTTTTTTATCAAATATATTCAGTTTTATAAATCAATTTATCCAATATTGCAAAGGTTCCAAGAGCCCACCCATAAGATTGTGTGCAAAAAGCAAAAGGGCAAAATCCAATATAAAAAAGCAGTCATGCGCTTTGCATGTATACTCGGCATGAGGGAACGTTTTGTAAAATAAATAAAAAGGTTTCTCGCAGGCTCGTATTTTTATTTGTCTCTATATTTATCGGGCGCACAACCTTTGGAGGTCTCTCTCAGCGCGGCGAAGAATTTATTTGAAATCCTGCTGGCTCGCCGGGTGTTATGAGAAGGAGCTGCTGTGAGACCGAGAAAAGGGGTTTTATACCTTGGCAGTTGAGCCAGGCACTTGTTAACTGTCGACAGGATAACGAATGATTGCCCAAAACCAGTAGCACAAGTGAGTCTGCTTTGCGGGATGCTGCAGCCCGTCCTCCGCTACTTATACCAACTTTATATACTACACTTCTTGTGATGTTTAAATTTATATTCAGATGCAACGTGTTCGTGTACTCAACATCAATGCAAAATGAGAGGAAGAGAGAAGCCTCTTAAAATGATTTAAATTTCAGTTATAAAAAAAACTCATTTCCCCGCCAGAATTTAATAAACAAATTTAGATCTATTTTGATGAAAATATTTAGAGAATTTTTATTATTATTATTTTTTAATCAAGGAATCCATAAGCAGCTTATCGAGTTATAATTTTGTCCTAAATCATAATTATGGTAGAAAATAATACTTGGCTTATACTTGAATATAAAATATATTATTTTATTTACTTTAAATAAAAGAAGCAAAATAAGAAAAAAAATAAGGTTTTAAATTATGCACTTATTGAGTTTTATATATGTCTCTGTCTCTTTTAATATATACAGTTATAAAATCTAAAATTAAAAATATAAGAAATAATTTTATTATAATAGTTTATCTTTTTTTCTTTAATTTTTTATACGTTCAATCAGGTAATAAATAATATGACCGAGTTTGAGCGCGTAATTAACTCAAGTGCACAAGTTGGTCGTTTGTTCCAATTAATTTCGCGGGATATCGTGTGATATCATCGCTCAGGCTGCAGGACGAAAGGTCGCGCCGATGATTAAAATAAATGATTGTGTGCTGAGAAATGATAAATTGCACATCAGCGACTCTCCGGCCAAGAGAAAGAGTGGCGGCTAATTTATATTGTATTTTTTCCTGCGCCGCGCTAACGAACGCCGGCTAGAGAGCGTACGAAATAAATAATTCCCTTGGCACAATGCAAACGCCGGAGTTATTAATGTCGAGTAATTTGTAACTATAGTGTCGTGACGTCACGGAAAGTATCGTCGGCCGCAAGAAACAAAGGCGCGTCACTCAGGTGAGTGATGAGCCCATTTGCCTGTTCGCATCCCCCTAGGAATATATATAAAATAAATGAAATCCGTCTCTCAATTGTTTTTGTTTTATTCATTTCCCCTCTGCTATTTTTTCTTCTTTGTACAACCCCTCTCCAGGATAAAAAGGAATGACTGATGATTCCTTGCTAATGAAACGGCGGCACCGATAAATCATTGCCAGTCATCAAGACTGACTGCTCGCAGCCGCCGCCATCAGGGCACGACACGGTCCCTGGAGGTGCTGCAGCTTTTCTGCTCCGTTTGCACGACGACGAGGGATCCGAGCTGCAACTCGCGCGCCAGATGGTGAGATTTTTCAAGATTCGCGCTCATTAATCACAAGTGTTTAATCGAGAAACGGAGAATTAATCAGCAAACTCCTTAAATTTTGTACCGGGATGAAGTTTTAAAGGGGGGAGGAATTATGAAAAATTGCTCAATATATATTGATGAAAAGTCACAAATATAAAAGAAAATTGTTTTATAAAAAAATTAATGCAGTGACAAATTTGTTTATTATTTTTTTAACCCATAGTTATGTAATCCAGATTTGAGAGAATGAAAAACAAAATTAGGCAAAATTTCGGTCACACTCCGGCACTAAAACTGTGGTTTTAACTTGTTTATAGCTTCTTCAAATTTTTCAAAAGCATGACCCATATAATCTTAATTTAGGAGTAACAATTTAATGAAAAGCAATAAAAACTATTTGGATTATATGAATACATTTTGGCATTTCTAATTTCTTAAGTGTTCTACAGAATATACAAACTAATTTATTTATTTTTGTATAATTTTTATGGGATTGACTTTATTAACGCCCCATAATTTTGTCAATTTTCTCCGTTCGTACAATAAATCTCTTTGGGAAAATATCTAAATAATTGGTCAACACGCATTTGTGCCAAAGCAACGATAAATCAAACCTGAAGTTTATAACACACAATGCCCAAAATGAGCGCCCCCCAGCACGCGATGCTCATTTAATACTTATAGGAAATCTCACCAGTCACCGCGAGAAATGAAAATAAATGATGCGTTTCTCTTGTTTTGACGTGATATGTAAATCCACGGCGATGTAGAGGTGTGCGGGGCGGCGCGTTT